TGTGATATGGTAGTAGCGAGGCATAGATACACCTATATAATAGACCACCATTTCTTGCTATAAAAGCACAGAATTGCAATTAGAATTTAAACTGATTAAATCACACATGTTGACTTTTTAGTCATTATCTCAAGCTGCTCTTACTTGCAAAATATATGCAAGGGTTCTATCTAAATTAGGCAACATTTGGTTTCTTTGGCAGGTAAGGGATAAAGCAGGCAGAATCAGCTTTGAAGGAATTGCTCATTTCTAGTTCATGCTTAGTTCTTGACTACACTGCTGCTTTCCTTCATCCTTCTAAACTGTCAGCCATATCACTCTGAAGGCTAAGTAGAGAGGCACCCTATCCTAGGAAAACTTTAACAATTGGATCTCATGAACTGGAATCAAAATCATACTCCTGGGTTTCTAATGAAAGGATTTTTCTGACTGTTGGATCCTTTCTATTGATAGGTGGATGAGAAACAATCAGGATAGGAATGACCACATGTAGATTGTCCATATATCTGAATTATCATCACTGTTTTCAGAGCTTTTAAAAAATGTTCTGCCCAAACTCTGTGTTCTCAAAAGCAATGATTTCCCAATTAGTTTAGACACAGTTGATATCTATAAAGCTTGCTAAATAGGTTGGAAACCCCTAAGCCAGCACTTTTCAACCAGTGGCACGGGTACCACCTGTGGTACGTTGGCACCTGGCAGGTGATACGCGACCATCCTAGAAAAGTGGTAGCAGGGGAGGGGAATGAGAGCGCTGACAGGCGGGCAGGCTGGGGGAGCACTTTTTTCAGTGCCATTGTAACTTCGAACAGTCACTAAGTGAACTGTTGTAAGTCGAGGACTACCTGTACTTTATCACTTTTTTCCTTTTTTGGGCGGGGTCATCAAGTTTTTGACACCTTGCTAGGTGACTGGTGGTACTCGGATATTACCATATCCTAAAAGTGGTACAATGGGTGAAAAGGTTGAAAAGCTCTGCCCCAAGCAATAGTAACAAAAATAAATTTAAGGGAAATAGAGTAATGACACATTCCAGACAATAGTTGCTTGTTTGGGAATTTATAACCAGATGTTAAGAAAAAAATTGGAAATTGAAGTATCACATCATGTAGGGTAGACATGAGATCGAAGAAAGCATATTCTGACTAAGAAAAGGAAAGATCCAAGTACAACAAATAGGACTAGAAATGGTACAAAAACAAAGGTAATATATGTTGCCAAGAGCATCCAGTAAGTAAAGGAGGCAGGAAAAGGATACCTTACTGGAATAACTGTGGGCTATTTTTTGAGTCCAGTGAAGGTAGCCACTATAGTGCTGGGAATGGACAAGGAAAACAGGAAAAAATACAAAAATCATAAGGAGTTTGTAGCACCTTCCATGTGTAACCAATAGAAGTTACATTACAGTAACTAGCTGAAGTGACTTACAGGCAATATACTGGCAACAACCTTTAAGAGCTGTGCAGAAGAGGGAACTGTGCAACAATTGAAACTACAAAGGAAGGTTCTCAATTGAATTCAGTCCTCCCAGTTGCAGCTTTAGTGCAGCCTTTCCCAACCTGGCACTTTCCAGAGGTGGCTCAGCTCCCATGATACTGATTGAGGGAGCTGTACTTCACCATGCTTGGAAGAACCAACCTGAGAAGCCTCATAATGTTAACTATAGAATTATGAAAACCTAGCAAAAAGCTGAAACAAGTACTGGCAAGAAATATAATATTTAATTTTCAGTTAGCTCATGTATAACTATTTTCTCTGGCTTTTTGCACTAAATTGCAGCCAACTTCTAGGTTGCTTCTAGAGAATCATCAAAAAGGGAGAAATGAAACCTAGCCCTTAATATATCCTTAGAGCAGAGGGAAGGCTACTCTCTCCAAGAAACTTAGCCAGTTCCTAGTATGTTTCCCTCAAGGCAGCAAGAAAAGAAGCACCATGTGGCATACATAGAAATGACTAAAGATCTCACGTTCAAGTGGAATTGAGGAAGTACATTTAAATCAAAACTTCATAACCTTTACAGTATATTGGCTGAGTAGCATGCCAAAGATCATACTCCCAAAATAATAAATTTGTTTTATTTTCATTTTAATCTAAATATTGTTGAATGTAAATTAATTAGTTAAGATATTTATCATTGTTTCCAAGAGTTTAATGAATGTTGATCATGTTAAAAAGTAAATTTTGTTAGCTGCCCTTTGTACTTCCCAATAGAAAGGATATACATAAAATAAACGAAGTAAAATAATAACTCAATCAAAAATTTTGCAAGGCTGCACCAAGGGCTGGGGGAGAGGCACAAGCAGCCTATACATCACCAGGTACATTGATGTACCTGGAAAAGTGACTTAGGAATTTATTTCGACTAGTTTATTGTTGCCAAAACATAACAGATACCTGCACCAAATAAAATCTTAAGTTACAATTAGGGCCCCCAGCAAGGCAGATTGGGGTGCCAAACATTTTCAGAAGGGGTTCTGCTCCCATTAATTTCTATTTTTAAAATGTTTAAAACCTGGGAAGCTGAAAATAAAAAACTGAGAATTACCTTTCACTTCCAGGAGTGCTTTCCTGCTCCCAGGTTTCTTAAAAAGTAAGTGTGGCTGTAAGGAGGAAAGTCAATGTAGATATGAGAAGACTGGTTAGAATAGATCCAGTTATAACTGGTTAGAATAGATCCTCCATAAGAGCCATCTTCTAAAGCAGTGGTTCTCAACCTTTTTAATGCCGTGACCCCAATCAGTCGTAAGTCGAGGACTATCCAACCGGTCGTAAGTCGAGGACTTTCCCTGCCCGGGAGCACCGCACATGCGTGGTGCCGCCCCCTGCGCCAGCCGAGGCGTAGCTGGCAAGCGGCAGAGATGGCGCAGGCTGACCACCGGCTGGGCCACCAGCTGGCCCAGCCCAAGGGAAGTAAGGCACCCGCTGGGCCCCACACGCGCCAGCAACCCTCCCTGTGCCCGCCGGCCTCCCACCTCCCATCCCTGGCCCTCTTTTACTTACATTTTTAGTAGTTGCTCAGCAGGGAGGGGTGGAAACTTCCAGACAGCTCGCCTTCGCTGAAGACAACTTGCAGCACCGTTTGCAGAATGGGACTTTTGGCAGGCTCAGCAGGGCAGAAACAGCCTGGACAATTCCTATTGGCTTTTGAAAGCCAATAGAATTAGACTCTATTCAAGAGAGTCTATTCTATTGGCTTTCAAAAGCCAATACAATAAAAGGGAGTAGCACAGCTAAGGAAAAGGGGGAAAAAATGGTGGACTGCGTTGTTTGGTGACCCCCATGAAATGGTCGTTCGACCCCAAATGGGGTCCCGACCCACAGGTTGAGGACCACTGTTCTAAAGCCTTCCTAGCTGCTGCTTAGCCAGACTTACGTGAAACAATACTTCAGAAACACACTCAACATTGCAGCTCTATTTATAATTCCAAAAGAACTAGGAACCTCTGAACCCCTCCCCAATAAATCCTATGTGAACAATTATTTGAAATTTACAATTACATTGTTCGAAGAATAATTTGGGGTTCCATGAGCTGGAGTGGCACAAGAACAAATTAAAAATGAAATCCAGACATACTGTAAGAAAGATTTATTTTATTCCCACGAACAAAAACATTTGTTTTTAGGGGTAGCTAAAGAAGAAATGGAGTCCAGAGACTTGTTTTTATAGAGGAACTGGTCCTTGATGTGAGCTGGAGATGGGGTTGTGTACCTGTGGGTTTAATGTGTCCTTCCTTTGAAGATGTACAAACTGAGATGCTCTTGCCTGGGCTTTGATCCTGAGATGCATGTAAAATCAGGAAAGGAACCCTCAGATATGTAGATTCCACCACTGGAGCCTCCCTTTATCATGGGGGAACTCCTCCCTCCCCATGGAGCCAGTGAGGTGCTAAAAGGAGGGGGGAGCAGATCAGAGGCCTTTTAACTTCCTGCAACATTTTTTAAGATTCCTTGGAAATCAGTTTGAAAATAAAAAGCAGATTTTTCTGTTATGTGAGACTCAAATGGGAGGGAAAGAAAGTAGTACAGGGACCTCCAATTTTTTCAAGCAGCCTGCTTTTCCAGACACACAACTATGCCAGAATTTGTGTGGTCCGAGTCTGTAAAGTCTCTTGGGCCTGACTGCAAAGATAGAATTTGAAGGCTCCAGAACCTTCTGCAGGGAACACACAAAAGCTCTGTGGGATTATTTCTCTTTCCCATCCTCCTTTTTTTGTAAGGAGGATGCCAGCTGAAAACATCTGTTCCCTCTTTCTCTTTCAGTACCTTATTTGTTAACCTTTTGCTCTTTGCTCCATTTGTCTCTTGTTTCTATGAAAACACAATGCTATATAAGGAGTTAATTAAGGTGTTATTTAGTGTTACACCATTAGTTGCAGTAAGTCCCCCAAATATTGAGATTTATTAATGCCATAAAATTCCATTTCATTTGCAGATCCGATAGCTTCCTCTATGATTTGCCATAAACAGGTTATCCCTTACCAAACAGATGCTTATGAATTTCCTTTGCCGCTTTCTCTCCCCTCTCCGAAGATAGCCAGATTCCTTTTAGGACATTAATAAAGCAATTCATTCCCTTCGAATGCTATTTTTATTTGCAGTGTGCAAATGTGTTAGCTATACCAAGCCAGGCCTGTGCGAATAATCATACTGTTAATTGGACATTAACAACCGGGCTCAAGAAAACTCTTCCAATTTAGCGCCCAATGAAGTGAGCGCAGTCTCTTTTCGCACGTACACCCGGTGTATGTTATTTCAGCCCAACCTATCAGCTATAAAATAACCGCTCCGCAGTGAAGGTTCGATGTCCTCAGAGTAAGCGGTGCAACTGCAACACAGACCTCACTCAGGGCTCCTTTCCCTACGGCCAATCCCTGTCGGGCCCCCCTCCGCCCCGCCGTTCCCCTTTTGGGACCAATTGCCCGGCATCCGAGCAGCCAGAAACCCCGTTACGGGAAGCGCCTCCTCTCCGCTTGCCACGCCCATGGCTTCACGTGACCACCATGCCTGCCAATGGCGTCCCGAACGGGTCCTTCCCGTGCGCCGCGTCGCTGCAGTTATAGCCGAGCAGTCGGTACCAAAGACGTCTCTGCTGCTAGGCTGGAGGGCGATGGTTCGGGGCCTGCAGCGGTTGCGCAAGTAGCCTGGAGGAGACGCGAAGCGGTGAGTGGCGGGGAGGAGACGTCGAGGGTAGGGTGTGTCACGAGTTCTACCCCCGTTCCTCTTAGCTCGTTTTGGAAAAGGGGAGCGGGAGAAGGGCAGCCGCCGAGCCAGGCCAAAGGAAGGGGGATATGGCAGTTGCCTAGGGGCGGCCGAAAAAAAACCTTCCCTCGACCCCCGGGGGGAACGCTGGTTCTTTTCCTTAGGCCCTGGAGATAGGAAACTTTGGGCGTCGGAGGGCCCGAAGGAATCCAGGAATCTCCCTCGGCGCCCATTAGGACTGCCGGGCTTGGGGTGCCTGCTGCTATCATTTTAAAGAGCTCTTCGGTCAGTCAGTCCACGAGCGGAGTCCATTTTCCGCTCTCCGGATCAGACTGGCGCCGCCGTGTTTTTCAACCCATCCGCTTCTAATTGCAGCCTTGGGAGCAAAAAGTGGGCGGGTGGGATTTCCGAGCGCTTTTTTTTACAACCATCCATTTAGTGATGGCTGGAAGTTACACTGGTGCTGAAAGAAGTGACTTACAACCCTTCCTCCCACTTAGGTGCTTGGCAGTCAGCATGTATTTACAATAGTTGCAGTGTTCCTGGGTCACAAGATTGCCATTTGTGGCCTTCCCAGCTGGCTTTTCACAAAGTCAATAGGGGAAGCGAGATTTGCTTAGTGACTGTGATTCATGGTCATATAGCAAAAAAAGGTTGGAAAATTGGAACAAAACTCAATTAACTGCCTTGCTTAGTAATAAATTCTGATCTTGGTTGTGATTGATAGTCAAGTTTTACCTGTAATCATTTGGTCTCAGCATGAATTCATTCATGGCTCTCTGTAGTCCTGCCTATCTTTTTATCCTCCTAAACTACTTTAAAATTCTAAATCTCTGGATTGTAGTAATCTGCTTTTTTGTATCTGTATGTTCTTGTACAAATAGAAACCTTGACTTGGGGATTTATCTCATAGGACCACATGGAATGCCTAATGCAGATTAGATGTACGGGCTTGCAGTGTACAGGTAGTCCTCAGCTTACGACCACAATTGAGCCAAAATTTCAATTGCTAAGGAAGGCAATTAAGTGTGTTTTGCCCCATTTTACAACCTTTTTGCCACAGTGAAGTGAATCACTGCAGTTGTTAAGTGAATCATCTGGTCATTAAGGGAATCTGGTTTCTCCCATTGACTTTGCTTGTCAGAAGCCAGCTGGGAAGGTTACAAATGATGATCACATGACCCCAGGGGAATGTAACTGTCATAAATACATGCTAGTTGCCAAGTGCCTGTACATTGATCACATGACTATGGGGATGCTGCATTGGTCATAAGTGTGAAAACTGGTTATCACTTTTTTCAGGGCCATTGTAACTTTGAATGGTCACTAAACAAATAGTTCTAAGTTGAGGACTTCTTATGGTATGTATAAAATCTGGGTGTCAGGAAGGACATCTAGAATTCTTCTCAATTACAGTTCAGTGATCCATGTTTAGGAAGTGTTTTTGTCTCTGTGTGTGTGTGTACTGAAGCATCTGCTTATTCTTCCCAATTGTACAAGCTTTATCACGAAGAGCTAGAATGCAGTTCTGTACAATGTATATCACCTGTACTTCACACTATTTAAATTCCAGTACCTATAATTGCACTTAATTATATACCTGTTTACCTTTGTTTCTCTTCTTCCTCTCCTTATTTTTCTTTTCTCCCTCACCCTTTCTCAATTAAATTGGTTTATAAAAATTCTGTATTTTTTACATTAATATAGGAAAAGTTACAAGTAAATAACTACTATGTGTTATAATTCAGAAAGAGTTTGGTAATTAGCAGTACTGTAATATCTACCAATTTTAATAAACTTTGAAGCACTACTTATAACTGAACAGCTCTGATGTTTATTTTAAGTAATAACTAAACTGCATCATATGGGGAGAGTCTGTGTGCCCAATAAGGGAAATTCCGCAGAAAAATGTAATGCTGTCACACATGTGAACTTAATTTCCTGCATGCACATGTCCTGGCAAATATGAGTTGTATTTTGAATACTCTTGAAAACATGATTTTCTGGTATTTGATGGCTGTTAACCCTCTTAAGTTAATACTTTTCTATAAATAGTAGAAAGGAGTAGCAGCAGCCAGAACAATGTTCTTAAGGAAATTCCTCAATTGCTCTCAAACACATAAAAGGAAGGCTTTGTTGTTATTGTTTTCCTGTTTCATATAACATCTTGCTACCTTTTCACAGAAATTATAAAGTTCCTAATATATAACATAAATATCTTTTGCAAAGTCACTCTTCTTTTCTACTTGAATGCTTGCAAATGTAAATATTTAGGAAAGGGAATGTCAGAAAAAAATGTTTGCAATCAAACATTGTAACGTGGGGTTGGATTCTAAAAAAATGGAATAAGTTTCATGTAGCTTTTTTTTTTAGCAGAAAAGATTAGTTAGACAACATTGCTAGTCTTAACCATTCCCATGCTACATCCAGCATTCCCTGCTAACTGTAAGAACAATATCAGTCAAATGAAATCAAACACGAGCTTTACACAAGTCCAGAGTACTCATGCTAGCAAGAAGGGCCTACTTCGGATCTCATCAGTCAAAGAACTCCATCTGGCAGGATCCAGAAGAAAGTCTTGCCTGCTGTAGCACCCCTCTTTGGAGCATCTTGTCCATAATATTTTAGATGCAACTGTATTATGCATAATTGAGATATGTCTGAATATTGTTGCAATATTTACTGAAGTTGAGAAATTGGATAGAGAATTATAAAGGCAAAAGTAAAGACACACTTGAGTTATGGTGTAAAAATCTTCAGAGAGGTGAGAAGCTTAAGGAACAAAATCAGTGGTGGGATTTAAATATGTGAACAACCAGTTCTTTGTGTGGATGCCGCTTCCAGAAGTCAATTCTGGGCCTGTGCAACAAAAAATTAGCTACCGGTTCTACCGAAGTGGTGCAATCTGGCTGAATCCCACCACTGAACAAAATGCAATGACAAAATTGGTGGATGAATGTGGTGAAAGCAGTAGTGGTTTGCAAGGGTAAATCGGAATGAAGAATTGTCATGCAAACTAGATTTAGCTATATTTTAATTGCTTACTATTCTTTTCTGTGCTTTTGATAAAGTTGCTGGCCCTGAAAGGAACTAGCTTCTAGGTGTGCATGTATACATATGCAAATATAAGGCTCTGCCTAACTGGATTGAAGAAATGGCTCAGATACATCCAATTCTGCTTAGAATTTGGATTTTTGAAATGATTATATCATGCTTGCTATTTGGTAGTTAGACAACTTAATTGCCTTATGTGTGTTTCTTTTAAGAAGTTTTAGTAATAGTCAATTTACTATAAGGTATCTATAAGACCTATGTAAAATTCTTACACTGTAATAAACATCCTTTACATATTTATCCAAAAATTGATGATAAATATTCATTTCTTCAGTGGAAATAAATTTTCATGTCTTTTTAAAAAAGGAATAGATGTTTACATTGTCAGATAAAAATATCAGTTTCAGAACTGAGGTTGGCCAGGAATCAATAGAAGCATTTTCATATGCAAATCAGAATTTTCAGTAATTTTGGCTTGTTGAGAAGAAACAAATATGCCAATGCTACATGGTCATTACATCTATGGAAGCTTGTTATCATGATGTGCCAGACAGACTCTTTGTTTGCATGTAAGAAACTTCTGCTATTTAACTGCTCACACTGTAGGAAATGCTAGTTTGCCATGAACTGAGAATGTATCATACCTCTTAAATAATGGCAAAAGATTCAGTTGTATGCTTGAAGCATTCTGATCTATATCATATATCTTGGAAGAATTTTATTAAAGAATTGATATATTTTGAAGAGTCACTGAGTGAGTGGTTATTAACGGCTTCCTGTATATGTGTGTGTGTGTGTTTGATTTCAACTGAACTTTCTATCATGCTTAAGATAGCTGAACTTACCTATTAGGAGATACCTATATAAAAATAAATGACTGATTCATCGTTATAAAAAGAGGTTGCATAAATATGTTTTACAGTGACTTGGATCAAAATGTTTTCAAAATGGAACATGTCAATGCAAGGTCTCTACGTTCTCCTAAGCATTTACTACTTTGGAGGTAAGTCTGTAAAAATGAGTTATAGTGCTATGCTGAACAGGACTGTGATTTAATATTTGTGGTTAAATTACATTAGTGATTTTGAGTATTAGTATGAAAATTAGGTTATAGAAAAAGAATATAGGTATAAACAAAAATCTGTATAGGTTCAGAGTTGATGTGCTAGTTATTTAAAGTGAATTAAAACCTTTTGAATAGATGCTAATTCAAATTTATTAAGACAGAGTCTAATAAAATATAACAAGATGAGACAACAGCAGATTAATAATTGAATTAAAGGACACTAACTGATTTATGACTTGAATTTAGCAAAGGAACTGTACAAGAATTGGAGATCCAAGAGCGATGGGGGACTAACCAGACAGTTAGATTGGTTTGAACCCATAAGAGTCTAGTTCTTAACTTTATTTGGAGTCCCCCAAATTAAAAACAATCTCATTGTCATGTTTTGATGAGCTGCCAACTGCAGTGATACAGTGGCGTTTTCAGAAAATACCAATGAAAATCTACATCTGCCCTTGGCAGATTTGATCAAATGATGTTTTAGCTCAGTCTTTCTATTATGCTACACTTAGTATCAGTAGGTCAGCTCATTTTAACATGTTTGCTCTAATATGCTCTAAAATGTTACCCCAAAGGAAATATAACTTCTTTGCAGTTCATTCATTACATTTTTTAATTACTGGTTCTATTCCAAATCTATAATAATAAACTATATTATTCTAGTTCTAGAAGAACTAGTTCCTAGAAGACATATTAATTCCTAGCATAATGCTAAAGTTCAAATAGACATTAATACAGATAGCAATTATCAAGCTCCTCTTGAGTTTAAGCCTAAAATAAATGAATGAAAGCCTAAATTTCATCAATTTGTGAGGGGAATGTTCTATTAAATTGCAGAATGTTCTGTTCTCCTCAAGACCATGTAATATTTCTGTTTTCTGTTTATGTTTTGAAAGTGACTAGTAATTTATGTAAGACATCACACTTGTCCCCCCAAGAGAGAAGTTAGCTTTTCTAGTGTACTTTTGAGAAAGCTATTGCTGTTTTTTCTACCTTAATAGTTGTTTATGTTAAAGCAATAATAAGTATGTTCTCCAATGGAAAAATAAATCTAATCATTTCTCTCAGTTTCAGGTGGATTTCTGAACATGTGTGGCTATATCGTCCCAGAGTCACCAGTAGTGTTGTCCACTGGTTCCAATTTTACAGCATTTTGCATTCTCCATGATGATTGTTCTTATTATGCTGAGCAAGTTATCTGGAAAACAAAAACGACAGTTGTCCCTAAAGAACAATATAGCATAATAAATCGAACTGTTTCTAGTGTAACATTCAGTGATACTTCTATGTTGGTTTCTCCTCTGACTTGCAACATTTTAGTACCTGGGGGTTTGGTACAGAACATCTATGGAATTCAAATTCAACTGGGCTGTAAGTCATGTCCTTTAATTTTTCTATGGATGGGAACATGGATAAAATTCTACTGCTAGGATATATTAAATTACCGTATTTTTTTAATATCTTTCCATTGCATGTTCTTAAATTTTAGCTGTACTTGAATACAAAAGAAGACAAATCAGTATAACAAATATTTTGGCAAATGTAATTAGAAAGGCTAAATAATTTTCCCATATTTGAGTACCATGTAAAAATGAAAATATAATGTTTGTCCATTTACACAATTTGAGTGTATTTTCTGAGAAAGTATGTTTAATTTTTTTTTAAAATAATGGAATTTTCAAGTAAGTTTCTGAAAAAGATTGAAATATTAGTAAAGTACAAAAGCGTTTGGTTAGATAGGCATGTAGTTGTTTTTTCTTTATAATTGTGAATGAAAAATCACTAGTTCAGAGTTTGGGTATGCAATTTAATATTCTAAACACATGGACAATTTCTATATATTTGCTGTCATTGTAATTCAGTTATGGTATTAGATGTGCTGGGCTTAATATTAATGAAAAGATGCTTAAGCAAGAAAATATAAAGAAGGGAGTCTGGAAAGATCCTTCAAGCAAGGTTTTTCCAGGCTCGCTTTTTGTATTTCCTTTTTTCGTTTGAATCAAGATCCTAGCTATGATCTTTGATATAGGAGAAAGGAATGGGAATTGGGAATTGCAGATTATCCAAATATTCCAGCCCATTCTTTTTATAGAAGTGACTTTAAGCACTCTACAGAAGCTTGATAAGGGTAAATGAAGGAAAAGGGATGGAAAATTTATTTGCATGTATCCTTTTGTTGTCCCAAATTTTGGACTAATTTTTGCTATTTTTTTTTTTTCAGTTCCTCCCGAGAAGCCTACAAACTTGAGCTGCGTTGTGATTCAGACACAAGTAACAACCTTTATTCAAAGATGTTCCTGGGAACCTGGAAGAGATACATTATTGAGCACTAATTATTTTTTAAAGTATAGATGGTAAATATATTTTAAAATGAGCTACTAATTTCTTGTATGTGTTCAATTAACTTTAAAGGAACTTCTAACCTTTTCAAATGAATGGTTTCATATGGCAAACCTAAAATGTTTTATGCAGCCAGAAATTGTGGGATCAGTTACCCTGTGAACTATAAGCAATTCTAACAGTTTGTTCCAAGAAATGTTCCAATTTGAATAAAGGAGAACTTAATTCAGTTTTAAGCTGACTTCTTAAAGTAAATTTCATTTAATTATGTGATATTTGGTTGTGATTAATTATGCCTCAGATTATGTGAGTGTGTCCTTGTAGATCAGTGGTTCTCAACCTGTGGGTCGGGACCCCATTTGGGGTCGAATGACCATTTCACGGGGGTCGCCAAACCACGCTGTCCGCCATTTTTTTCCCTTTTCCCTAGCTGTCCTACTCCCTCTTATTGGTGGCCACACCCACTTGGGGGTCACCACAACATAGGGAACTGTATTATGGGGTCACGGCATTAGAAAGGTTGAGAACCACTGTTGTAGATCAATGATTCTCAACCTGTGGGTCGGGACCCCATTTGGGGTCGAACGACCATTTCATGGGAGTTGTCAAACAACGCAGTCCGCCATTTTTTTCCCCTTTTCCTTAGCTGTGCTACTCCCTTTTATTGTATTGGCTTTTGAAAGCCAATAGAATAGACTCTCTTGAATAGAGTCTAATTCTATTGGCTTTCAAAGCCAATAGGAATTGTCCAGGCTTTCTCTGCCCTGCTGAGCCCGCCAAAAGTCCCATTCTGCAAACGGTGCTGCACTAGTTGAGTAGTCCTCGACTTACGACCGGTTGAGTAGTCCTCAACTTATGACCGGTTGGGGGTCACGGCATTAAAAAGGTTGAGAACCACTGTTGTAGATACATTATTATGGTGTCAAGATATTAATACATTTAATGTATCAAACGTGTTTCTTTATGTAGGCCAACTAAAGTATATCCTGATTGCATACCTCAAGATAGTAATAATTCGTGTACCATTTCTGATGTCGTCTTTTTTGTCACCTTGGAAATGTGGGTAGAAGCCAAAAATGAACTTGGAATAGCTGAATCTGACCACATTGAATTTGATCCCATAACTTATGGTAATTATGTTCCTTTCCATTAATTAATGTTAGAAGACTCTCATTCTTTCACTTTACATTTGAAATCTTTCTCCTCCCACAAATAGTCTGGATTTGAAGAAGAATATGATTCAGAGCATCTGGGCCCCTTGTACATAAAATTTGTCATCAGCTCCTTAGAGTACCTGAGTGTTTTTCCTGGGCTCAGGCAGCTTCATTTAATCTTAAAAAAAAAAAAAAAAGCATTTGGTTAAATGAATTGCCAGCAGAGACTATGAGCACATTCGTGCATGGTCCAAATCTTAAATGTCAAGAAGTATATAGTTCTGAATGCAGAATGTTGGGGTTAAAATTATTGGAATCTGTATATTTAACAATGAAACATTTTTTTTCTCCCTTTGTTCCTAGTGAAACCACTGTCTCCACATAAGCTTTCCGTCAATTCAGGAGAATTTCCTAGAATCTTAAGGCTGTCATGGGAAAACAGATTTAATGAAGCTCAACAATTACTAAAATATAAAATTCAATATAAGATCTTGAACAGGAATGATTGGAATGAGGTAATCCTATAGCTATTTTTTATTATGGCAATGTCTTTTACTGTACAAGTAGCCCTCAATTAACAATTGTTCAAAGTTATGATGAACCTCCTGGGGTACTTATGACTTGATTACAAGGTTATGATGACCAAACTTCACCCCCCACACAGTCACATGACCACATTTGGAGCATTTGTCAACCAACCCACATTTATGTCTGTTTGCAGTGTCCCATGGTCACATGACCACATTTTGCAATATTTTTGTTGATAACTTGGCATTTACTTTCAGTTTTTGGCAAAACCAGCCCCTAGTGAACAATTGTTTCATTTAATGACTGATGCAAAAAAAGTCATAGAATTAGACTGTGCTTGGAAGAAACCCTATAAATATTGTAGATCTCAAAGCAATTCTGCATGGAAGTCGGGGGGGGGGGGAGAAATCTGGTTAATGTCAGAGGCTGGTAGGCAGTTAAGAAATGCCTACTTCAAATTACTTCTACTAGATATTAGAATCAAGGAAATGGATATATCTCTTAATTTTTTGTTGAATAAATGATTGCAGTAAATACTATTTTTGTTTGATTATATCATCTTTATCTTTGTTTACTGTTTGGATGAAGATAAAATATTGATATCCAATATTGATATATGTTTTAAAAAAAGTTTACATGCAATGTATTTACCTTTTCACATGACTGTATAAATAGTCCTCGGCTTATCACTGCAATTGAGCCTGGAATTATGATTCTAAGTTGTGGCGTTCAGTAAGTAGGCCATTATGTGACTCTGCCCAATTTTATTGCTTTTTTAAAAAAAACAAGTTTTATTAGTTTTTTCATTTTACAAACCAGTGCTTAAGAATCACTGTGGTGGCAGGGCAATCAATTGTCCAAATACAAAGTCATACTCATAAAGATCAGATTAAGTCATTAAAAAAAAGTAAAAGAAAAGCACCCCTCTCTATTCCCTCTAGTAGTATATTATATTCAAGTTAATGTATTTCAGTACAGCTAAGTCAGTCAAAACAGTTATCAATAAGATTTCATCTAAATAAATCCAAATCATGTATTAAGCTTTACTATTTCAATTGCTATATTCCATTTTGCTAACATAAATACATAATTAGCACTTCAAATGTCTCTCCATATTTTTTTTTCCATTAACACAATCAATATTCATTTATTAATATCATTCCTTTTTTCTTGGTAACATTTCATCTAAATAAGTCCAAATCCTGTATTAAGCTTTACTATTTCAGTTACTATCTTCCATATTGCTAATCTAAATACATAATTAACACTTCGGGTGTCTCCTGATTCCCTTTTTCCTTAACATAATCAATAAACATTTGTGGATATCATTTCTTTTTTTTCTTTTTTTTTATATTTCTTTTTTTTCTTCTTTTTTTCTTATTCTTCTTCCATTACAAAATAGCTAGCATTCCTAATAATAAAAACATTAATTCAAAAAAAGAAAAGAGGGAAAGGGAAAAAAAACAAAGAAAAAAACAGACAAAACAAAAAAAATACCTTTCTATTTCTTTTATATTTTATAATCTATCACTCCCTCAATATCTGTATCAAACTCCTTTAACCTCCTCCCAAAATTACTATTACCACAACAAACATATTAATATATAGACAAATGTCTTCTTATTAAATTCAAATTTTTAATTAATTTTTATTCAATCTAACATCTTATTTAACCATCTTAAGCCATAAATTAATCCATATCTAGTAAGCCTTAAAATCCAATATATAGAGCCTTAAGTCAAAACTCTTAAATCTTATTCTAGCTTTCTTTTTATGCCAAACAGGTTTTCATAACACCACCTCTATATCAATGAATAAGTCACTTTTTATGCCTTGTAGTATCCTTTGAGTCAAACAAGAGCGTCTCCTTTTCTGTTTTAAAGACCTAGCTTGTTTGTAAGTAATCCCTTGTTGTTTTAAAGAGTCGTCTCCACATTTGAAACTGTTGAATAACAGGCTCAGTTATGTCCAATTTTGTAGTTAATAGATGCTTATCCAAGCTGCCATAGTTTTCAGTTAGTTGAGCTTGTCTGTTCATTTCTGTTGATTTTAAAGTTGTAAGTGGTTCAGTTACAGTTCTTTTTGGTTCCTTGGAGATCTCATCAGCATGCATATAAAGTAAAATAAAATCTTCTTTAATCTTAGTTGATTCTGCTTCTGTTGTTCAGGATCGCGGCGCTCGCAGCTATGCGAAGAGACTGCTCTCTTCGCCAGCTGATTCTCCGCTGCTGGTAGACCCTTAATTGGATCGAAAAGCTGCCCTGGAGGGGCAGCTATCACTGAGGAGGTCCTCGTTGTCCGTGGGAGAGCGGCAGCTTCTTCCACGGCCCGAGATTGCTCCTTTGGGCTGACGGTGGAAAGAGCGGCCAGTAAAATGGCCGCTCACCTTACCACTGAAACCAGAAGTCAGAAAAACATCTAAGCACAGGAACCACCGTGGCTGAGCTGGGTGAGACTTTTTTCTCTTCCTCTCTTGGTTCTCCTTTTGTGTGTGTGTGTGTGTGCCTGTAAAAAGCACTTTTGAAATCATTTCCTTGCTCTGAGAAGGCAGCGTTGGTGAGTGTAGGAAAAAGAAGCTTATGGATTGAATTAATTTAAAGTGACTTTTATTCTCTCTATTTTTATTTTTATTCACTTTGGGGTCTTGGAAAATCTTTTTAATATTGAATATTGAAACTACTATTGGACTTTGTCTACATTTGAAGAATTCTCCTTTTTTCTGTGTTTTCTGATCTTGTTAATGATATTTCTGGTGTCTGGGAGGAGATTTTATATTCTACTGAGGACACCTTGTGGAAAAAGTTAAAATTGCATTATTTCTTTTTCTGTTGGTGAGACTGGCTTTGATCTTCAGACTACCATAAAAAGGAAAAGACAAAGAAATTCAACAGCTGTATTTGTGGGGGTGGATACTGATTAAATGTTCTTTGAACACAGCCTCTACTAAAGATAGATTGTTCCTAATTTTCCGTGAAATGGAGAAATCTAATGTTCAACTTGACTATAAACTTATATTGGAAAAACTTTATGAAGCTACTGACCAAATATGTTTCCAAATAAAAGAGTGTACTATGGCAATAAAAAACAGACATTTTGCTTTGAATTTACAAATTGACCCCCAGACTACATCTGAGTATTTTATAGATCAATTTTATTGCTTTTTTGTGGCAGGCGTTAAGTGAAACCATTTTCCCCAATGGACTTTTTTTGCCAGAAACCGGAAATAAATGCTTGTTTCTGGCAAAAAAAAACAAAGTGTGGTGAAACTGTGGGATGCTGCAAATGGCTGTAAATGCCCTTTTAAGACTTTAAAAAAGAACATACAACTTGGCAGTTTTAAAATCATAATGAGTAAATATTATAATATCATAAGACTTACAAAATTCAGCTTTATTTTCAGATTCCTCCTGAAGATACAGCTTCACCGAGAACTTCATTTACTCTCCAGGAACTCAGGCCAAATACAGCATATCAGATTAGACTGTGTTGTGCAGTTTCTTTGTCAAAGTACTGGAGTGATTGGAATGAAGTAATTGGATTCACTGCTGAAGACAGTAAGTGTTATTTAATTGTTTACGTTGGCCCAAGATTCAAAACGTGAAATAGTTATATGTCTACACAAGTTATCCTAAAAAACTGAAAAAAAGCATAAAAGGAGATCTATAACTCCATGAGCAAAGAGCCTGAAAATGGATGATCATTACTGTCAAGCATGGGAGATCTGATACTAAAAAATATTAATAACGTCTCTGAAATTAGTAATTATTTTTGCTTCAGCAATCAACATTGGTTATATAAAAACAATCATGATATTCTTTTGAGGATTGTGTGTTTCAAATTCAATTAGGGCTCAAGATGGCTCTGCCTGCCTGAGTAAAGGATTAAAATGACTTTTAAGATCATGGAAAAAATGCAGGGCAGATCACACAAAATCTTACAATATTATAGGAGATTCCCCCCCCCCCCCCGATAATATGGATAAAAATTATAGAGGCTGAGATTTTCTATCTTCTGTAAATTATTCAGCATTTTTTTCCTTTGTATGAAAACTCATAGTAATAATCCACAAATTATGCAGAGAAAAGGACTCTTGGGTGAAAGTTGTATGATGTACAGTACTATGGAAGTCTAATACTTCATAACTTTTAAATGCTGCCATGGGATATTTAATATCAACAGAAGATTAACATATATAACATATATCTGCCATTAATACTACATTATTACAATGGCGCATATGTCAAATTGACTTAAGACAGATTTTTTAATTTTGATAAATATGCATCAAATAAAATGAATAGTGAAATTTTCTGAATTCTAGATATTTGGATTTTATCCTCTGTTAGGACCATCTAAAGGACCAGTTCTTTGGCGTAACATTAAAACATCTTACTCGACAGGAAATTGGACATTAGGCCTTCTTTGGAAGGTAGGAAAAAATTATATATCACGAATGTCTGGCTTTTGATGTTCTTGGCAACAATATGTATCTTTCCTGTTCTAATACTTTTATATATTGCAAGTAAATGTGTAGTGTTATAATGTATATCACTGCCATTCTTAGGACAGCAACTTCATGAAGTATCCTTTGGGATAGATGTAAATAGTAAAACAAAACATAGTGTAAAATAGTGTTTCTCAAATTTGGCAACTTTAAGATGTTTAGATTTCAACTATTAGAATTTCCTAGTCAGATAGTTGGCTTGGCTGAAAAACACTGGTGTAAGGGATTTGCATTGTTCTGAGGACTATGCTTGGCTTTTAAACATCATGAATCTATTCCAAAAAGTAGCTAAGGTCACGACAAGATCTATTTATGATCTAATTTAATTGCTTCCCATATGTTTAATCATTTTTTCAGTTAATTATAAAAATTACAATTCAGTGAACGTGGGAAGGGGTGGAGAAACTTTAAGAACTCTCTACAGCTGGGGCCCCCATCTTTGGACTGGTGGCAGCGGCTTTGGTGGTTTTGAAGGCTGGGACAGAATAGCTTCGCACGTGCAACCTAAATCCCGCACATGTAAAATGAAGCTTCATGTGCTCATCTGCTGCTTTGGTGGCCCAGTTACCAAAGAGCTATGGCCCAGTACCGGTCCGTGGCCTGCTCTAGAGGCTTTTCAAGACCATATACACCTTTCTTTGGAGAATATGAAAATATATGAAAAATTATGTAAAACTTTTTTTAATACATAAAATATATGTAAAGGTTTTCTAGCCTTTGGTGCTGTGTATTCTAAGGGTCAAGTTGCATACATAAATCCTCAGTTATAAGCATATATACATATATTTCACTGGGTTGTAGAAGTCTTAAAAGGTAAGAGTTTGGATCATATTCTGCTTTGAATGGAATTTCTTGAAAAAAGCATAAGAGCATGATTGATGTCAATGTCTATTGACGCTGGTAAGGAAATCAGGTTTTAGCCTGTAACGGGTCCCCAACCTCCGGTCCGTGGACCAGTACCGGGGCATGGGATGCCATAAACCGGTCCGCACAAACAAGGAAAGCCCCATCCTCAGGATGCAGGCAGCACACAAAACCACGCCCCTTCCGGTCTGTGGAAAAACCTCTCTCCACATAACCTGTCCCTTGTGCCCTTAAGGTTGGGGACCTCTGGCCTATAACATTTAACAAAATGTAGTTAAAAGCAGCAGAGTTAATGAAGCATAATTAGATTATGCTCTGTTTCAGGTAGACAGATAGATTACCCTACCACTGCATGTTAACTTTTCTAAGAAATTAACAATGACATCAAAATTGAATGTATAACACAGCTATTAATTTGATTTCTTTGTAAGCATTCTCAAGTGATTCCTATATATTTGGAACACGTAATTGTAATTCTGTCTTCTGATCATCTTGATCAGTTTCCAAATATTGATGAACATTATTTCTACCAATGTCTGAAATAAAAAGAATAACAGAAAGTGACCTTTTGGGAACAAAGCCTGTGTAATGGTAGATAGGAATAACTTTGCAAGACAGGAAAGAGCCACAGCAAAGGACAGGTTGGTTAAGAGGCAACTTAGCCCTCAGAAGTAATGAGGGCATGACAAATGTCTCAGAAGGGATCCTCCATGCTGTAAAGGTAACCGAAAAGAAAAACAGACTTGCAAGATATTGTTAATGTAACCTTATAATAAAGTAGAGCTAATATTTCAGGGTGAGCTTCTTGTCTGGACCACCTCCAAGGTTGATATCTTGTTACACGTTCAGTCTGTAATACCCTCCATTTGATGCATTAAGTTCTGTTCTAGTAAACAAAGTATTTGTGATTTTTTAGGTGATATTCTTTCTTTTTTTACCATTTAGATTTTTCCTAGGATAAAAAAGTAGATAGAAATACTAGATTCAGTCCATAAACCTTTGAGAGCATTTCCTGTAAATTAATTTTTCATACAGTAAGGTCCCTTATTCTTTTCCTGACAAAGCCGCTTGTAAAAAGATCTTGGATAAAAAGATTGAGAATTGGCCTACTTAACTTATAACCCACTACTAGTTTGGAACAGAAATGCTAGGTTAGTTGGATGAACATCTGGATGTGTACAAAGCATTTCCTTCATATATCATCTCTAAATAAATTTACTTTTTAACAGGAGTTGACTCCTTCTGAAGCAAATGGAGTAATTTTGAAATATGAAGTATCTATTTCAGGAAGACCGCCACTTTCTTTTCCAACTAGATATTACACTCTGAATACCACGCAACTGATTTTAAATGTACAAAATGGGACATACTATGTGAGCGTTACAGCATTTAACAAAGTTGGTAAATCTCCTACATCAGTTTTGCTTATTCCAGCAACTAATTCAAAAGGTAAAAATTTTCGCATAATTTAGTGAGGTAGAAAAATTCTAAATATTAACGTTAATACTAGACTACTTTTGTTTTTCTATGGGTAGTCCAATTTTATTGAAGCCAGTTTGGTTTAGTGGTTTAGGAACCAGGCGAGAAAGCAAGAGACTATGGGTTCAAATCCTGCCTTAGCTATGAAATTCAGCTAGGTGGCCTTGGGCTAGTCACTCACTCTAAGCCCATTTCTCATCACAGGGTTGTTATTGTGGGGAAAATAAGAGGAGGAGCTTAGTACACTTTAAATTATTCAGACTAATCTGTTATTTTGAAGATTTTTCTTCTGTTTGAAATGACTATCTAAAAAAAACTTGTCTTCGGTTTTCTTCAAAGATAAATAAATTTAAGGAAAAATTTCATCTTTATTGCAACAACCTAGCTGTAGCAATTATTTTGATTAGTTCTGTTATTGAATAGATAAAATATTCCATTTAGGTATCTTAAATATGATACTTCTTATATATACAAGAATCCCAATTAGATCTTAAAGTTTCAGTTGAACAACTGGCTTATGATATAATAATATGTGGTTCTAAAATATCTGAAGAACCGTCTCACTTCAATTGACTAGCCCACCACACTTGTTCCAATGAAAAAGGCCACCTTTGGATTCTGTTGGCCAAAGAATGTCAGTTGGCAGGGTCCATGAGAAGACCTTCTCTGCCGTGGCTCCCACACTGTTGAATATTCTCTCGTCAGAGCTAAGGTTCACCCTCGCACCTCCTGGCCTTCCAGAAGAGCCTCAAAACTTAGCCCTGCTGCTTAGCTATGGGTTCCGACAGGCCTGCTATGTTGGGGGGTGGCTGACCAGCTAGAGAAAATCTCTATCCCCCAGACCACGCATCATCTTGATTTTTAGCTTTTTTTAATTCAGTTTTTCTAATGGTAATTGTTTTGGGTGCATTTTACTTTTTATTATATTGTAAGCCAGCCAAAGTTTGCTCTATCAGTGAGATGGGTGACATAGAAATTTAATAAATAAAATTTCAATAGGTATTCTGTAGAATACATACTACAATTTATTTTCCTTTCCTAAAATACATTTGTTGCTATAGGGATGTCAGATATGAGAATTTAAAAAAGTTTTAAACTATTGAACATAGCCTGTCAAGATGAGAATAGTAAAAGTGCTCTAATATCTGAATTCTCTCTCTTGCTCTCAGTGTTAAAAAACCCTTGAAATCTTGTTCTAGTTCTAATGTTTTCTTATATGTGACCATATACATCCTCTCTGGCTTGATCAGAAATACGTTGGGATTGGATTGTTCATATGGCCAGCTGTATTATATTTCAAATAAGAGTCTTCAATTGAATTTTGATGTTAAAATTAGGAACTTTTTAGAATGCTACAATTTTCACTTTATATCTCTTGCAGAATTAAGGTGTTTTTTTTTTCTAATTTCAGCTCCTGTGAAGAATATTGTTGCATTTCCTGAAGGTGGCAAACTCTGGGTAAATTGGACAGCTCCCAAAGAGTCAGTTAGTAAATATATAATTGAATGGCAAGAAACATGTAGCAATTTAAGCTGTCCTACTGAATGGCAGCAGGAACCTGGCTCAAAACAGAGAACATTTTTAAAAGGTAATCCTAGAGAATAATCTGTCATTTATACAATGGATTGAAAAATTCTTTAGATGCACTTATTTCCTTTTAAAATAAAACCAACCCTTATTTTTTATATGCTATACCCACCATGCTATATCTTTTAATGTAAAAAACATGCAAAGTGCAGAAAAGGAATAAGAAATAATATGCATTTATAAATAATATAAATATAATTATAATACATCTTATAAATTTATTTATAAGAAATAGTAAATGAAAGAAATTAAGGCCTAAGATATAAAAAAGAAATTAAATCTAAATCTGCAGGCTTCCTATGTTACTGGCCTTAATCATACCTGTGGGACAAGCAGTATTCATAACTAACAGTAAAAGTGAATGTTAGCATTTCAGCATTTTCAAGCCAATATACTACTTTTCCGTATAAGCTAGGACCTCTAACCTGGAGATAGCTTGCAAGCCAATATATTGTTGTAGAGTTGGAAATTAGTACAGTTTTTATTTTCCTTTTTTTCATAACCCGTAAGCTGCCCATAGTCACCTTGTAGGGGAGATGAGCAGCATAAAATGTACTAAATAAATAAATAAAATTGCATCAGTTAGTAGGAATTTTCATGTTACAAATACGTTTTTCCTCAATACAATAATTCCAGAATGACATCATTTTGACAAAACAACTAAAATCACTATTCTGTTGCCTGATAGAATTGTGACTTAATTATGACATAAGAAATACGTTTCTTTGCTGTTCAAATTCCCACTGTATGCCCTGTCAGTTTGCAGGTCATTGAACCTTAAAGAAATTTTGTTTTGAACCTTTAGTACAGATGCCATCTCAGCAGTGTGCTCAGAGAAAGCCTAGAAAACAACATTGGGGGCAGACTGATAAAATAAGTTGTTTCAAAATAAGAATTTTGAAACTTCTTATGGAGCAGATTTGGAAACTGATTTAGAATTTTAGAAATAAATAGGATTTTTTTTTTTGTAGCAGGCTGTTATTTAAAGCTTGTAATACATAAAGCAGGCCAGAATAAATGTTAGCTGTAAGGATGTTATTCCTTTTATTTTAGCTGCTAAGTAAAAAAGCTGGTAAAGGAGAGACTTTCACATGGAAGTTTTTTTTTTTTACAACTATTCCCACATCCTTCTCTGATTCTGCCAAGTGATAAATCCTTGATATCCACATTTCCGATTAATTTTTATTGTTGGAGTTTGTTTTATACAAAGGACTATTAGCCACTACAAGTAAAAATGGAGAAGTAGGTCAAATCTCAAATGTTTGAACATTTCTCTACATTCAAAATATTTGACAAACTAAGATAATGTTGTGTATTTTTGACATAGTTCATTCTCACAATTTTGTTTTTAATATTAGCAGTGAGTCTTAGAATATGTATGACAGAACTAGAATTATACTTCTGCATCAGCAGAATGCCATCAACTGCAGCTTCTTTCTTCTAGCAATTCAGAACAGAGATTGCTTAGAGCAGTAATGGCGAACCTTTTAGAGACCGAGTGCCCAAAAACTGCCCCTCCCCACGCACCCGCAGGGCCACCCACCACCACCTCCACGGCCTGCCACAGATTGTTGATGCTGCGTGGCAGCGCCATGGCGGCTACGCAGCATCAACTTTTTGCAACAGGGCGCAAGGGCAGAGTCTTGTCCCCACTGCCCGGCTGCCATATCCTTGGCTGCGCTGCTCCAAGCAGGCCATGCCTGGGGGCGATTCTCCTCCAGGGGGGCTGCTGGTGTAGAGGGGGCCGCGGGGGGAGGCAGGGCTGGGGCGACGGCACGTGTGCCCACAGAGAGGGCTCCTGAGTGCTCCTCTGGCACTTGTGCCATAGGTTTGCCACCACTGGCTTAGAGATTGAAAAATTTATAAATTGATCTTATAAGTAAAGACATTACTACTTTAATCAAGCATCTTTTTATTTTTAAAAATGTGTTAGAGTAATCCTGCTGTTCTGATTATATTTTATTTTCTGTTTCCCCAACAATAAGAAAATCATTTATGTATTAAATGGTTTATTTCTATGATCACTATTTCATCAAAATCCAACAGTGATTTCCAGTGAATAATCTCTTGCCTTTTGCTTTCCCTCATGCTTGCTTCTTCATCAGAAAAATAGCATTGCATGAAAATGTAATATATTTGTCTAGTAGATGGATTGTAATGGGACACATGCAGGTAGTCCTCAACTTACAACCAGTTGTTTAACAACCATTAGAAGTTACGACAGACTCAAAAAAGGGGTCTTGGATTGGGGAGACACACCACTACTCTACAGTCATGTGACTGTACTTTAGGTACTCAACAACATGGCCTCATTTATGCCTATTTGCAATGACCCATGACCACATGTCATTTTATGACAGTTTTGCAAAAAAAAGTCAGTAATTATGTCTCGTTTTCAGCAAAACTGTGTTTATAATGAACCATTGTTAATGATTGCAGTGCTTAACAACTGCAGTGCTTAACAACACTGCAAAAAAAGTTGTTAAATCAGGTTGGTTACGTCACCCATTAACATGTGTTGTGACTTAGGATCAGTAAAGGGCAGGCTCCATTATAGTCATAGCTCAAAGACTACCTGTACCACCAGAGCTAATTTGTGGAGAATGCAAATTGTCTTCAAGCTTTATATACATTTATTACAATTATTTATATCTTGCCTTTTAGGATAACAATAATCTTAAAGCAGCTTGCAAGCAATATTAAACAACTGCAAAAAAAGGAGAAAGTTTTCATGCATTTCTAATGCACAAGCAACTTCTGGCCGCTGTACCTAGCAGTATCTGGTTGTTTTCAGATGTGTCTGAAAATAGTTACTAAACAAGTTAAATTTCTCTCTATGTCTGTGAGAGGGTATCTTTTGTTTCTTAACATAAAACTAGCATTTTTAATTTATATAAATACAACCTGTACAATTCTTTTTTTAGGGACTGTAAAGCCATACAAGTGTTACATAATAACAGTGTATCCATTATATATTGGTGGGCAAGGAGAAGGAGAATCAACACAGGCCTATCTTCAACAAGATGGTAAGTTTACTACCACTGTAAGTGCTTTCTTGAGGATGCCACAATACAGTAATTGGTTTATCATATTATTTATAAACCTTGCCTAATTTTCATTATTAATTTATACCAAAGTCGAGTACAAAACAGTAAAGCTATAAGAACTTAGCTTCAGTCATAAAATATGACAGTGAAAGAAAGAGAAAGAAATGGGATGCAATAACATGTATTTTTTTTTAAAAGCCTAGATGAAATATTGATGCGCCAACTAACATTGAGCAAGGTTATTGGACTGCAATGTTTTTGGTGAATGCAAACAGCCATTTATAAGTTTCCCAAAAAAACCTTGAACTGCTTGATAGTATGGTGGCAGCTAGTGCTGCTTCTTCATAAAAGTTAATATAGTTCTAGTAAGCTGTCCCTTTAATAGTCTTTCAGCATTTTGCTCTACTTCATCTACAGACAAATCCCAAAAGCCATTATTGGGTAATTTCTCATTTCCTTTCATTCTGCACTTATGTAACTTACATAATAGAGCTTGTTTATGAGAGAAGTTGGTCTTTAGAAAAAAAAAACTTTTAAAAATACTCTTGATTCATAGTTCCTGCTACTGGACCTACTGTTCGAACAAAGAAACTTGGAAAGTTTGAAGCTATTTTAGAATGGGAACCTCTCTCGGTGGAGGAACAAAATGGGTTTATCAAAAACTACACCATTTCTTATAGAACAGTGAATGGAGATGAAAGAGGTAATTGTGTTGTTAATTTTTAGTTATTTGAACAATATCCTAGCCCAAGGTTTCAAACTTTACTTTACGCTTTACCAGATTCAGGCTAAATCACTACATGGTAGCAAAGAGTTATAGAAAACTAACTCTGGCTTCCATCTAGTATTCATCTAGATTTTTGTGGATGAACTTTACTTGTCAGTTGCTTCTTGTACACAAAGACTCTTGTGGACAAACAGTCTTGTACTATGTTGTGGTATTCCTGCCACATTATTCATGAATTGTTAATCTTTCATATATATTGCACTCTATATGATGCACTCTACATGGGACTGCCCTTAAATAGTATTTAGAAGCTTTAGCTGGTGCAAAATGTGGCTGCATGAGCAGCCTCTCCATCAGCACATATGCCTCCATTCTGTGGGCTGCCTTGGTTGCCAGTTTTATTCTGGGTGTAATACATTTCGTAATACAAAATGCTAGTGATGATCTATAAAGCCTTTCATGCCATGGGACAGATTATCTGAGGGACCGCCTCTCTTCAATTACATCTAATCCAATCAGATCTGGGAGGAGGGTCATGTTTAAATCTCTTCCACTAAGCAGCTCTGTTATGGTTCCAACTGTATGGAACATCAGTTTTAGTATTCGTCACATCTTCCAGAACAAATTACCGACAGATACTGAGTTGCCATCATATTTCATCCAATACAGTATGTGCATGTTATGATGTGCAGTAATATTGATATTGAGCTGACCATTCAATGCGTAACTACAGGGAGCTCATATTTTGACAGAATTAATAAAATTAGAAATGAAGGATGAACTATACTGAGATCAGATCTAAATGTTCTTATTTGGATTAAGGTTAGAGAATGCTAGTTTGGATAGATTTAATGTAAAATGTTGTCAATCCATTTTTTTAATTTCTAGTTGTGGCTGTGGACCCTTCAAAAACAGAGTACTTACTATCATCTTTATTAAGTAATACTTTGTATGTCGTGCATATGACAGCATACACAGAAAGTGGAGGAACAGCTGGTCCTCAGTTTACATTTTCTACAAATAGATTTGGTAAGTTTTGTATATAAATATTTCAATTTTTAAAATAATCAGCTTGGGATGAAATACCTCCTAAGTACCCATTAGAATTCCTCCTTTTTTGGACCACTTGAAAGTCATGTATAGATGATTTCATTACTTCGTTCTGTATTACATACCCTGGGAATGTGACATAATTCACAAATCAGGTGATTTGTTTGTTTTTGTCGGAGGGGTTTCTTTTGTTTTGCACAATATGTGAATTTAAACATTATGGTTAAGGATAGGTATGATCCAAAAGGATAGGTATGATTCATTTGTTATTTTAGAGGTTTTTTAAATTGTTTTTAGGTAAACTAATAAACGTTTGAAGAAAATGTGCTGATTTCCTTTTACGTTTTCTTTTTCAGAGGATGGAGAAATAGAAGCAATAGTTGTTCCTATCTGCATAGCATTTCTGCTAGTTACTTTATTGGGTGTATTAGTTTGCTTCAGCAAACGAGATATGTAAGTATCCTTAGTGGTACTATCTTGTACAGCACCATATATTCAGCACACTGCAGGTCATTCTTGATTGAGCAAAGGAGGGAGGGCTACACTGGGGTGTGTGTGTGTGTGTGTGTGTGTGTGTGTTGTGTAATTCTGAATATCACTTGTTATTTTTTTACTTGAGTTTTTATTATTTTTCTCCAGCATTAAGAAACACATCTGGCCTAATGTGCCTGATCCTTCAAAGAGTGTGATTGCTCAGTGGTCACCACAGACACCAGCTAAGGTAAAAGGAAAAAAAAAACAAAATTAAATTATAAACTAATTAACAAAAATATTAAAAAAGGCATGGGAGAGGCAATTTTCACTATTTCACAGATGTGGCATCCTCCTCTAAGACTGTGGGGTTGACTTATGGAGAGCTATATGGTTGGGGAAATTGAAAAAGAACAAAATATCTCCTCCATTCTGTCAACCTAATGTTGAATCAGAGTTTACATGGAGAAAAAAGGCTGTTGCATTTGATGAAGAATTTGATTGGAATCCAGGCCAAATCTTCAACTAAATGCAAAAATGTAAATATTTTCTTGTATATATTTTTAAAAAGCATTCCTAATAGATTAGAAACTTCAGTATATAACAACCTAATTTTTAAAAAATCAAAAGGACAAATCTTATATATTATGCAGAACTGTCAGGCATGTACGGAGAATAATGTAAATTCAGCAGAACTTCTGGTATAACTTGTATTGTGAAACGTTTCATTCTCAGATCATGTATTTTAGTAATGAACATTTCAGGGAGATAGAGTCCAATCTGAAAGGCCAAGGAGGCACTTCGTTAATTTACGAATGAAGAAGCTTGACTTTCTGACAGAAAGGAAGGAATGATGAGGGCAGACTAAAGATAACATCAAATGAATGTAGTTTTGATTTAAAATCAAATTGCATGACAGATAATTACAATGACACTTTTGTCTTTTTTTTAAAGCATTTTAATTCAAAAGAGGAAATATATCCAGAGGGCAGTTTTACTGACGTCAGTGTTGTAGAAATTGAAGCGGAGGACAAGAAATCCCTCTCAGATCAAGATCTGAAGCCTTTCGAATTGCTTAGGAAAGAGAAGAGTGCCTCAGAAGGTCACAGCAGTGGTATAGGAGGTTCATCCTGCATGTCTTCTCCTCGACAAAGTGTTTCAGATAGCGATGAAGGGGAACCTGCTCAGAACACTTCCAGCACTGTGCAGTACTCAACTGTCATACCCAGTGGCTACCGGGATCAGATTCCTTCAGTGCAAGTCTTTGCCAGATCTGAATCTACACAGCCTCTCTTAGATTCAGAAGAGAGGCCAGAGGATCAACAGATGCTTGGAAATGACCACTCAGTGCCCAAGCAGCGCTACTTCAAGCAAAATAGCAGCTTGGATGACACAGCCACAGATTTCGAAAAAGCGAAACAGATTTCTCCAGTAAGTGAGGAAGATACTACCAGGCTTCCAGCATCACAAATGGGTGGATCTGGCCCAGAAACAGATGAACAGGGGAAGGACTTAATAAGTGCATTTTTTCCTAACCTAATGGAACAGGCTGGGCAGCTTGAAAATAACACAGATATGGTAACCAATGAAGAGATGCCCAAAAGCTACCTTCCGCAGACTGTACGGCAAGGTGGCTATATGCCGCAATGAAAAGAAAATACTGTTATGCCATTGCTCTGTTTTTAAAAAAATTATGTTTCAGGTGAAAATCAGGCTCATCTATGGAAGATAATTTGGACAACATGAGGTTTGGGAAATTTGAACAGACTTTTAAAGGAAAATTTCTAGACTTCTACTGATTTTTTCCTTCAAGCACTACATATATTCAATTTCAGAGATATGTTTATTACATTTCAGTTTTGTCCTGGGCATTCCACTTTGTTTTTAATGTAGAATATAAAGTTACATTCATTTGCATAAAGACATATAAGCCAGGAGTTGATAATTGCAAATATTTCCGTACAGTTAAGACCATAAGAGGTTAAAAAGTACATTATGAATGCTCCATTTGTGATGGTCTAGCTCTAGCACCAACTTTTCAAAAATAGTGTTTTAATTACAGTGAGAGTTATCCAGAAGCAAATAGTTTGCTGCCTATCTGGCCAAACATAATTTCCTCAGGCAGAATATAAACATTACATGGGTTTAGTTATAGCCCCAATAATTAACTAACTAGAAATGTTTTGTTTGCTTGGGTTCTTTCTCTGACCGTAGCATGTTACTCATGTCAATCAAGGACTGCATTAATTGAGTGAATTATCACTAATTGAATCATGATTATGTCAGAAAGTTGACTGGTAATATTTCATGTTGACTTTTGACTGCCAGTATTTCATGCCTTTTGTATCTTGCACTTTGAGCCATATCTACAGAAATGTAAATACTACGTTTGGAACTCAATCCTATAAAGTTAAATCTCTGTATGTGCTTATTTTTATTACCATATCATAATTAGAGGCAATTGTTACTAAAGAGGAATATATACTGTTCTTTTGCTAACTGCTAAAATGCCAGGTTCTGGTATTCCTTCCTGTGCATAATTATGAAGGCTGGAAACCATACAGCTGGGTTATTGAAGACACTATGCTGAGCTGTGGTCTTTGTTTTGCAGTTCTGTTTTCTCCATTTATTTCTTGGAAATATCAATTCTTTTGGTTCATACAAGTTTGTTAAAAACAAATTTCCACAATGCATTAATAGCCTGAATGGCTTTTGATGCAGTCCAGGAACACTAAAATTGCATAAGAATTAAAGATTATCTGATTGTTTTTTTAACAATTTCATTATGTATATATTGAAACTTTAGAGATCATCACCCTGATCACTCTCATGTTCCTCTTTTTCTTGGGGAGAGGAATTATTATTAGTAATAGCTGACATTTATACAGTAGAAAAGCTGATAAGTTATACACCACAAGCTCAAAATATAACCACAAATATATTTAATCATTTTCAAAGTTTCAGATAATCTTAAATGGCCTTATTTTACTCTTTTTCTGCATATGTCATTGTAATATTTTCATGTTTGGAAATGAAGTCAATGCAAGCCTCTTAAATATAGTAAATAGAAGCCACCAATTAATTAATTCCTATATTCTAATTGTGGAATGCACAAAGCGTGCCCATTAACATTCTACAAAAGCACCATTATCTAAATTGGGAGAATATTATATGATATGGTGTTATTCAAAAAACAGGTTACATCACAACAATGTAACTTCAAATATATAAGAACGGTGCTCAGAATTGTATTACAGTATTACTACTTTATAATTTCTCCAACCTTTTGACCATCTGTATTAACCTCATAGATTTTTAGGTGGAAAACCTTTGCATAGTTAATCCCCACTTACAGTATACAGTATAATAGAGCATTTTCTCAAGTTCACAATTACTACTTTAATCTGGAAAATAGGTAGAACATTGTAACTGTCTCAAAAAAACCCTGCTAGCAAAGGGACAGAAAAAGGGCTGCTTTGTTTAAAGCTGTCAAACTCGCTTAATTGTTTTTTTAAAAATGACCTTCAACCCAAGTTTCCCCAAAGAGGCTTTTAATCTGAACAAAGCTCAGTATATTGGGCTTTGCTTTCTAAAGATGGATTCCCCCATGGAAAAATTTGATCATTGAAGCAGAAACAGCCTTCCTTCAAGATTGGAGTCTTTCTTGATCTCCAACGGGGAAAACCCATCAGTCCTCTGACTCCTGCTGGAACAGTATTTTTTTCAAACTTGGCAGCTTTCCGATGAATGGAAAGCTGGCTGGGGAATTCTGTGTTGAAGCCCAGTCAACTTAAGGTAGCCAAGCTTGAAAAACATTGATAGACATATTTCTAGGGGGACATATTTCAGCATAAATATATTTTTACAAATTTGATTTATTAGTTACATTTTAAGCCTCAATTTCTTCATTACTATGAAACAAATTAATCCACCTATTGTGCCAATTATTTTTTAAGTTAAACATTGACTCCAGTGTTGGAACACAATTATTTTTGTTGCAATTTATATATTCTCATGGTATGTAGCCCTTAATTTTACCATTATTGTGAATATCCACTGAAGTCGACTTGGTGTTAAATTCTGCTGAATAAAATCCCTCAGATAAATTGAATGTTGGGTTGTTTTAAAACTATTTGCCTGTGATTGAATAAATTAGGTACAGAATAACATTATATAGCATTTTTTAACGGAAATAGTTCAAAGTAATTCTGTACCTTGGGTTTTTTAAATACAATTAAGTAGCAAGGATTCCAATTTTAATTTATTGCATCTGAAGGTAATTGATATGATTAGGAAAGTATTTGTTTAGTCTGTTAAATTTATAATCAGCTTCCTTGCATATCAAGAGGAATGTTGCTCTTGATGTCTTAAATGTGAAAGCAGATTAGTAGGAAAGGAAGAAAATCCAAGAAAAGTTACGATGACTTTTTAAGGGTCTTCTGCTTTTTTGTTCTGACTTTTACCTCAGGTGAAAGCAATAATTTAACTTAAATGTTAGTATATATCAGTTATTAATAGATGTAAAGACTGCATAAATAAATAAGCTGCTTACTTACAGAAATATCCATTAAGAATGGAAAAACTCTTAAGTCTATCAGGCAGGACTGTCTACAGGATATGGTCAAGAAAGACAAGATGGTGGCCACAGCAACACAATGCCTATTTTATTGTGGCCACCATTTTAAATTTTTTGACTACATCCTATGGACAACCCAATGATGATGACTGGATCTACCGTATATGCCGGCGTATAAGACGATTTCCGGAAGCGCTAAACTCGGCGCCAAAGATGGGGTCGTCTTATACGCCGGAAATACTGGTAGTTTCCGGCGTATAAGACGACGTTCTAGGAAGGCGACTCGGCGATAAAGACGGGGGTCTTATACGCCGGGTCACCTAATATGCCGGCATATACGGTACTCATGGCTTGCTATGTAATTGGTGACTATAGCTAATTAAAAATAGGCTATTTGTGACATTAAATCATCCCAATATCACTATGCCTCATTAAAATTGGTGTCCCTCCATTGGGCCTTTATGGGGCAGCTTGATAATTTTCTATTCTTTTTGTCCAATTACCAGTTGTAAAGAAATATTAAAAATGATTTAATAATTTTAAATTATAATTGAATGTGTATGTTGCTAAAGTCAAGGGAATTGTTAAGGTGAAAGGAATCAGGAAATGCTCATTTTCTTTTGTATGACAAAGTAGCACTGATTTAGACTATAGACTTTTGCAAACTATTTCAGTAGATAACACGTCTTGATCAACGTACTTTCCTCAGACCTGCTTCCTATTCCATTATTTCTATCTACTAGATACATATCCAAGCAACTGGCATTGTAAACTAAAAGATTAGATTGATTAATCTTTATGATTTACTTCTTGGTCCTTCCATGTAACAGATTCCTTCCCTATGGACAATGGAACTGTAAAAGAAGATGCCTTTATACCCAGCACTTAACTGAAAAGCATAAGACCAAAAAAAAAAAAAAACACCCTCTTTTTTAATATATACATATACAAAAGAAGCCAAAGACAGAAAAGAAATCTGCATTGTTCAAAAAATGAGGGGTTGGCTTGATGTGAAAGGACTAGGATAGAACTCAGGATATACTTTATAGAAGCTTATAAACAGCACGTACATTTATCAAATATAGTTGAAGAGCATTCAGTCCTAGATTTAGACTAAGGAAATAGGAAATTGCGCATTTTAAAAAGTATTGTATTTGATTTGCAGTTTAGAGTTAATCTATTAATAGTGCAATTTACTGAAAGTAGTCAAAATGTTTTAACAATGTGTGTTATCTATCTGAACATTTACAGCAGCCGAAATCCTCTTTGTACTTTTGCAAGAAGTGAAAGAGCTTGCATTTGGCACATGTTGTTTACGTGCTGGTATTAGTTGGTTACTAGGAAGAGTTCACATTGCCATTGCCAGAAATAGTTGCTTCATCTTTTTAACAATTTCAGTGGACACATAATGCTGATTGTATCTCTGCCCATGAATGGAAGAGAATGTTCTAAGTGACCTAAGTTATAACTCTATTGTATAAGTCAGGGGTCCCCAAACCTGGTCAGTGGACCAGTACCGGGCTGCGGCATGCCAGCAACTGGGCCACACAAACAAAGCCCCATCCACAGGATTCAGGCAGCACACAAAACCACGCTCCCTCCAGTCCTCAGAAAAAACTCACTCCACGGAACCGGTCCCTGGTGCCCAAAAGGTTGGGGATCTCTGGTATAAGTTGTTTTCTGGTGCCTAAGAAACTAAGAGTTAAATTAAAAAAGAAAGCAAAACTACCTTAAAAGTATGAATAAGGCAATCCTGCTGCTGTTGTTGCATTGAAGGTGTACACCAGGGGTCTTCAAACTTGGCCTTTTTATGACTTGTAGACTTCAACTCCCAGAATTCCTTAGCGTGCATGGCTGTCCACAAGTCATAAAATGGCCAAGTTTGAAGACCCCTGGTATACACATTCATTATTCATTATTTGATCTGAAAAATCTGCAGATTCTTTACCTGTTGCTGGTCATTATAGCCAATTCATTTTGTATAACGTACCAGTTATCAGAGCCTTTAACCTTTCTATAAAGCTGTCCTAATACCCTTTCCTCATTATGTGAATGCATGTTTGTTACCATATAAATGTGAAAACACTTGTTGGCATTTGAATTTGTAGCTTTCAATCTTTTCCCTGAGTTGCCATTTATGTACCGTATATGCCAGCGTATTAGGCGACCCGGCGTATAAGACGACCCCCGAGTTCGACGCCGGGTCGCAAGACGATCGACGCCGAGTCGCATATAAGACGACTTTCTAGGCATGCGACTCGGCGTCGATCATCTTATACGCCGGAAATAACGTCATTTCCGGCGTATAAGATGATCGACACCGAGTCGCATGCCTAGAACGTCATCTTATACGCCGGAAATAATAAATAAATAAATAAACGTTATGACTCGGCGTATAAGACGACCCCCGAGTTCGGAGGCTGTTTCATCGCTCTCAAAAGTCGTCTTATACACCGGAATATACGGTATTTCTTTGAAATCCATCTATAAACAATTACAAAATTATTAAAAGAGCTATTATGTTGTTTGTATTGTTGCTTTTTTTCATTATAATTTTTTTATTGCTTTTAAAATAAAAAAATAATTTGTCATGTATTTTTCTATTGCTTTCTTTTCAGATATTTTTACACTAATAAAAAAATTACTTTTGCTAATGTAATAATTATACTACTAGTATAATTCACCTTGCTTGTGAAATAGTGGGAGAGATTAAAGCTGTATGGATGTATCAAGACACATTATTTTAGAAGCTGGAAAATCTAAAAACAATTTACAAAACTTTCTATAATATGCAAAAGCATGCACTGAATACTGCTATACCAAATGACAAATGCTATTTTATTTAAATTATGTTGATATTGCTTCCCATTTAAAAAGGAACAGATTTACGGTTTAAACAATTGGTTAAACATACTACGGTAAAGTGTTTTGCAAAATAAAATGGCATCAAAGAAAAAAACTGCAGTTTTTTAAAACAAAATCAATATTTAGTGCATTACCAAAAGGCCTGGGAGAATGAAAAAGGCCAGGCATAATCCAATCATAACTAGGAGGACATTCCATAGTCTAGAGATTACCAAGGAAAATGATAAAAGTATTTTTGTTTTGTTTCAATTTTGCTTATAAGCATGAAGAAACTGAAAAAAGAAAAAACTAACAAAGGAACATAATATACATATATAAGCAACGGATGGAAACTAATCAAGGAGAGAAGCAACCTACAACTAAGGAGAAATTTTCTGACAGAACAAATAATCAGTGGAACAACCTGCCTCCAGAAGTTGTGAATGCTCCAACACTGGAAGTTTTTAAGAAGAGACAGCCATTTGTCTGAAATGGTATAGGGTTTCCTGCCTGAGCAGGGGATTGGACTAGATGACCTCCAAGGTCCCTTCCAATTTTTTATTATTATTGTTATTATTTATTATACTTAAGAAAAATATGTTTTTAAACAATGAATTAAAAAAATGGAAACTATGCAACATTTAATCAATGCAAATTTTTAAATTAGTATGGCAGTCTTCAACTGAACTATATTCTACCTGTTTAACCTTAGCCCAAGCTTAATAAATCCAGACTTCTTCATAAATAGATAATTTTCAAATTTTTAGAATATAGTTCATGTTACATTAACATATTTCACGATAGCATCTTTTAAACTTTCCCCATATTAACAAGCTTAGGAACACTAAATCAAAACAGATTGATTGACTGACTGATTGAGTCACTATGTGTCATCAAGTAACTTTCAACTCCTACCAATTCTTCATTATGAGCCTTCTTCATCCCCTTGCACACAACACTTAGACCTTAATAGGCTAAAATATTTCATATATGAATATATTAATTGTGTGGAAATTATTTTATTTAGTGTGTAACTTTTTAAAAGCTTAAATGCTACCTAAGAGAAAAATATATAATTGCCTGGTTTCCAAATGGGTCCTGCTAAACAACTTAATCTGCTAATAATAACAACGTTGGCAAAAGTAAAAAAATGAAGGAAAACTCACACAATGTGAGTTTAAGAATGACATTCTCCCATTACTATTTAATTACCTGATGTAAATCTAATATTCCTAATGAGCCTAAGAACATGAAGTATTTATAAGACGCTATTGTATTATTCAATATTTTGCAGGATGTTAATGCTACATCCAATATCTCAGTTGAAAAATGATCTTGCTTCATTTTATATTACTGGCAAGAAGGCGTAAACATAACTCCAGTTGTAATCTAAGAATAAAAGACACAAGTCACATAGGTTAGAAACAATCTCATAGTTTTATAACAGAGTAGCAGGATAGAAGATGGCATTGTGACAATATTTCATCCACTACTTTAAAGTTACAAATTTTAGAAACAGTTAATCTTCATCTCATCTTGATGATAATCCAAAAGGTTTTAAAAACATGTCTGTTCTTCCAAGCCTTGAGGTAGGCTGTTGGTAGAGTCCTATTGGTGATGTTTCTTGTTAGATGGAGCATTCTTATACAGCACCTGAGATTTTCTTATTGTGTTTATTATCATTGTTGTTTTATATTCTTATTTGATATAAAATGCCTAGAGTCAACTTGGAGTCAGATAGATTTAAAATCTCCAAAATAAACATATATCAAAACAAGTATGTCTCTTCAGTCAATGCTATGTATAAAAACAGCATTTGAAGATGCAAACTATCGACCTTATTGGCATATTTTTTCCAAACTGGGCTATGGAATAGATGACTATTATTTCTATAGCATGCGGGACTTGAATTACTCTTGTGATTTATCCAGCGGGGATCAGGGCTGCATAGACTTTCAAAGTGTACATCTATTCAGTGGATTATGATTCTACATAATTTTGAACTTAGCATTTAAGGACTACACAACCTATACAGAGGAATTAGGAAAATTGCATATGAGTTTTTCTCTAGTTATCATCAAGAAATATGTATTTAGATCTGAAGGAAAGTGACTTGTTATAGAAGATCCCTAATGCTGCCCCTTTGTATGTGTCAAACCCATCTTTTGCTCACACAAAAAAACACAAAGAAGACTACTTGATAAGACAGAAAAATGTGGGGTAGACAGAATCACCACCAGATGGATCCATAGCTGGCTGACTGGCCATACTCAGCGAGTGGTCCTCAATGGAACTGCATCTATATGAAGGGAAGTGTGTAGTGGGGTGCCCCAGGGCTCTATTCTAGGCCCAGTACTCTTCAACATCTTCATCAACAATTTGGATAAAGGGATAGATGGGGAACTCATCAAATTTGCAGACACCAAGCTGGCAGGAATAGCCAACACTCCAGAAGACAGGCTTAAGATACAGAAGGATCTGGACAGACTTGAACACTGGGCACTAACTAACAAAATGAAATTCAATGGTGAAAAAAGCAAGGTTCTACATTTAGGCAAGAAAAACCAAATGCACAAGTACAGCATAGGTGGCACCATGCTCAATAGTAGTAACTGTGAGAGGGACCTCGGAGTCCTAGTAGACAATCACCTAAATATGAGCCAGCAGTGTGCTGCAGCTGCCAAAAAGGCCAACACAGTGCTAGGCTGCATTAACAGAGGGATAGAATCAAGATCACGTGAAGTATTAATACCACTCTTCAATGCCTTGGTAAGGCCACACTTGGAATACTGCATCCAGTTTTGGTCACCACGATGTAAAAAGATGTTGAGACTCTAGAAAGAGTACAGAGAAGAGCAACAAAGATGATTAGGGGACTGGAGGCTAAAACATATAAGGAACGGTTGCTAGAATTGGGTATGTCTAGTTTAACGAAGAGAAGGACAAGGGGGGACATGATAGCAGTATTCCAATATCTCAGGGGCTGCCATAAAGAAGAGGGAATTAAGCTATTTTCCAAAGCACCTGAAGGCAGGACAAGAAGCAACGGGTGGAAACTAATCAAGGAGAGAAGCAACCTAGAACTAAGGAGAAACTTCCTGACAGTGAGAACAATTAATCAGTGGAACAGCTTGCCTCCAGAAGCAGTAAATGCTCCAACACTGGAAGTTTTTAAGAAGAGACTGGACAGCCATTTGTCCGAAATGGTGTAGGGTTTCCTGCCCGAGCAGGGGGTTGGACTAGATGACCTCCAAGGTCCCTTCCAACTTTACTATTATTATTATTATTATTATTATTATTATTATTATTATTATTATTATTATTATTATTAAGAATTCCATCTAGTTCCTCAAAGTCAGCCAAAAGAGAAAAAAAAAAAGATGAAATACATTTGGTCAAAACCAGCATTTATGTGCTCAACAAAAACTGACAAGGATATGTAATCTAAAATACATAAATCATTCCTTGGCAGATAGTGGGGATATTTTACGTGCCACACTGAACATTTCTGCAATGCTTTGTGCAATCAGTCTCTGTGGGATGGAGAATTCAGATCTTATCCTTTCTCCTCTTATCAGGAACAAAGTCATATTTATGTCATGGTCACAATTCTATACATTTGAAAGCTATTAACAGATCCTCATATCAGATGTGTCCAGCAGTGCAGTAAGTAATATGCAAAATAAGGAAGTGCTTTGTCAGGTGAAAAAAAAATCCCAAGAAGATTTGATAGTAGTTTCTTAGCTACTTCAGAACTTTTAAACACCCTTATCACTTCATTGCAATCATTTGACTTCTTTCTTCTTTTTTCTTCTAATCTTTCTGTTCCAAGAAAATCTAATTCATCTCAGCGCTGGGTAGATTATGAAATAGTGTAACATACAGAGAGATTAACACTTTTGAGAACCACCTAATCAGGCAAAAGCATAGCTTCTAAATACCCTTATCACTTCATTGCAACCATTTCAAGTTTTTTCTTCTAAACTTTCTGTTCCAAGAAACTCTAGTTTATCTCAACACTGGGTAAATTATGAAATAGTTTAAGAGAGAGAGACTGACACTTCTGAGAACCATTTATTCAGGCAAAAGCATTATGGCATCAATAGAAACAACTTTTACCCAAGAAATCTTGAACTCTGACATTATATAAAATATGAACTCTTTAAAGTGACCTTTCTAGATTTACATTTTTTGACAGAATGAAAACATTTCAACCACTAAGTACAAATACAAATGATACAAAGCCTTTATATATTTATATTTATTTCTACATAACCTTTTTATACTAATCTTTACAACACATTCAATTGTTTCGATTGACAATTATATGACTTCATTTTCCCCTCCACATGTAACATATTTGAGATCTGTGATATCAAAAATTTTAAGAAGGCATAGCTTTGACCATATTTGCAACAAAAGCATATCCAACAAATATATTTTATTTTTTATTATACTTTATTCTGCCTTTATTCTTTTATAAACAACTCCTCCTATTTTATCCACAACAACCATTTGAAGTGGGCTGGGATGACAGAGAATGATGGTCAAAGGAAGGGCTAATACTCACAGTCTCCTAGGTTCTAGCCTGATGCCTTAACAAATTGTTTAAGTAGGAAAAGTATATTTTCAGCTCTTTGGGTCAAAAAGTAAGGATATGTGATACTGTGCAACTCCTAACAGCATTTTCTTCTATATCCAAAGTTTCTCAGACCACTTTTTTCTATTCAACCTATCACTATATTTTATTAGGAAACAGAGCAAGCATGAAACATGACACCCTGGTGTGAATGTTTTATACCTACCTAATAATCAAGTCTGAAACAAATTTATGCAATAATTTAAAAAACGTGCAGAACTTACATGCTCATTGTTTAGTAAAACAGCAGTTACAAGCAGGGTGCCCCATAATTTATTTATTTTTTTAAAAAAAATTGTAATTAATACTTTGAGAGTAATTTAACTGTATCTGGTGCTACATAAGGATCCTCAGCACTACAACAGTCCAAAGAAGCATGCTGGGTTTCAATTTATTTTGTATTTTGTCTACATTCTCGCAATCCAGGAACTCTCTTGAATAGAGTTTTTCAAATATGAATTAAATTCAGTTTTCTCCTGTAAATTTTCCTGATATTGCATTTCTTCTTTTGCAGAACTTTCAGAATGCCTTCTTGTAGTTAGAAATGTTTGATTCTTGAAGTCATGGTTCAAAGATGATACTGAGAGAAAAAATTCTAGAGCTTTGTATTCTCCACTGCAAAAAGTCCCTTGACCAGCAACCTTAATTTCCGCAGTAATATTTGCTTGTTTGAAGCGGTTTTCAGGATTCAGCAATGGCAATTCATTCTCATTGCAAGTATCAATTTTCAAAATATTGATGTCATCCTCAGAAGATGAGTTCCCCAATATGAATTTCTGTTGAAGACACGAAAAATGCAGATTCTAAGAATTTAAGCTTCCTTTACTAGTGAAAATGAAAATAACCATCAGCAAAGAGGATGTACATAGGAGAAAAATAAGAAAAATAAATAATTGTACTGCTGTTACTGTCCACATGGATGTGGTAACCTCAGAAAAAAGAGTAACTACTCAGATGGTTGTATCCTATGAGCCATTGCTTCTTCATTCAATCAGGCAAGCAAACTATTGATAGATTTTTTTCTGCCCTCTAATTGTTTACGTAATATGGTCATTCTTTCATGTGTTCACCAGCTTCAGCACGCAATTTAGTTAATGTGGCCAGAACAGAAGATACTGCAAGCTCACTCTTGGATCTAAAGACAAATTGTATTTACAGAAGGATGGCAAGGTAGAGGAAGAAGAATGGGCAGTGGCAGCATCACTAAGGATAACCAATGCAAAAATTAGGGACTATTTCCTCAATGGATCTAATCTCATGGCTACATACTATATTTCAAGGGCTGACAAGGGACATTTTTTGGCTAATAGACTGTGATAGTTATGGTTAAAAATGAATTGGAGGCTCATTATTTACAGTGGTGTACATTACACTTAGCTATTAGCTGTACAGTTTACATTACATTAGCTATTTTTTCTATGCAATATTGCACATTTTTTTTCAATTATCTCCAATAGTATTGAATCCGAAATGTCAGAGATGAAGAAGGTTTAACAAAGTTAAGTCCATGGCTGTTATTACTCAAGGAGATTCATGTTGCACAAAGACTAGGGAAAGTTCTGGGCCATGACAATCAATTTCTCACAGTCTGCCCAGTCCTTACCTGAGATACAGCAGGACAACTTGCTATTACAGGATGTGGAATCTGAGGCCAGCAAATTCGTTTTATCCTGATAAAACAAAAGCAAACTGATTTAGTTCTCCAATACTTGTATTTGATGATATCTCAAGAATGAAACCAAGAGACTTCAGTCCCCGCTTTATGGATTTTTACAGGTTTAGAACATTTCTATTTGATGTCTACACGAAGATTCTGGTAAGATCAGCCGTCCCTATGAGATGACATATTATCAGTATGATGATGATTGTTGTTGTTAATTGCAAAGTCGTGTCCGACCCATCGCGACCCCATGGACAACGTTTCTCCAGGTCTTCCTGTCCTCTACCATCTTCTGGAGTCCATTTAAATTCACACCTACTGCTTCAGTGACTCCATCCAGCCATCTCATTCTCTGTCGTCCCCTTCTTCTATTGCCATGATGATGATACTCAGCTGTATATCTCAGTCCACGTTGAGTTAAACGATGCCACAACTTCCCTCTTTAGGCTGTTAAAGTCTGGATGAGGAGCAATGAGCTGAAACTGAACCCTAGCAAAACAGAATGGTTTTGGGATTGTGTTCTTTGGTTTATAGAGAATTGTCATCTTTGATGCTGGATGAAGTTGCACTGCCCCAGATGTTCCTGGTACTTAATCTGGGGGTTTTCCTGGACTTGCCACTCCTGTTCGAGGAGTGGGTGGCACTCATGGCTAGGAGGGCCTTTGCACAATTGTAGATTGTGCATCAATTATATCCTTTCCTGGACCAACAGCCCATGCTCATCCACACCCTAGTCACCTCTTTCTGTTGGAGACAGGAAAAATGCAGATTCTAAGAATTTAAGCTTCCTTTATTAATGAAAATGGAAATAACCATCAGCAAACAGAATGTATAGTAGATGGGGGGGGGAGAAAAACATATAATTCTACTGCTGTTACTGTCCACATTAAAATGGCAGCAACAGGAAGAGTAAATACTCAGATGGTTGCTTATGTCTACATGGCACTCTAAATGAGGATGAGTAAACATGCTTTACATGGGGCTGCCCTTGAAAAGTAATTGGAAACTTCAGTTGATTCAAAATGCAGTGGCCTGCATGGCTTTGTGCAAGTCTAGATTTGCACATGTCACCCCTCTTGTGGAAGCTGTATTAGTTGCTGATTTGCTTCCAGGTCTAATTAAAGGTGTTGGTTATCACCTTTAAAGTCCTATGGACCAAATTATTTGAAGGACTGTCTCTTCCTAGTTACATCTACCCAGCATATTAAACTGAGGAGTCAGGATGGGTCCCCCATTAAGGAGGTCCATTTAGTGGGACGAAGAAGGCGCTTTTCCATAGCAGTTCCCTCCTTGTGGAATATTATCTCTCCAGAAATAAGACTGGCCCCCATCTTGTTAGTCTGGCCCTTTGTCTGCGGGCCTGGGGATCCCAGTCTGATACGGAGACCATGAAGTAGCTTATCTGAATGTTGTCATGGGGAGGGGAGAGATGGGATTGTTTTGGTTTTGAATTTGGGATCTTATCTTTATAAGCCACTCTGAGTAGTTGTGAGTGAGTTGGATATCCATATAAACCTTTTTATTAAATAAACAAAGGTCCCCTTCCCTAAACTGAAACATTTGGGATGTTGAGACTATTCTGAGGGAACTTTGGGTACTTGTATTACCTTCTTGATAATATATTAAATATAACATAATATAACAACAACATGTTATTTTTATTATTATTATTACTCATAACATAACATTAAAATAAGATAAGATATGTTTAGGTTTGGAGGAAATGTATGCAATGGTCCAACATTCTGAAGATGTTCAAATAATTTCAAGACACTGTGCCAATGAATATGGAAGGGGAGACTTCACCTGATTCCTGCTTAAAGCTAGCTCTAAAATTATCTTGTATATAACATAAGGAACCCAATATTTGGGCAAGGGAAGTTGGATACGGGAATGCTGTGTTTGGGGAATATAAAGTATTGAATCATTCAAAGCTCCTTCAGTAGAAAACTGCAGCCATCTGGAGAAAAATGAAATCTTTAGATTGTGTTAAGAAGGAGTTTCATGTAACTAATGAAAGGGGGAATGGCAAAGAGGTTGCATTTTGATTTGCAAAAAGTCTTGTCACATAGCCTCAACTAAACCCAGCAATTTAAGCAGTGTTCAGTTCACAAAGTCAGATAGATGAAAAATAATCTCAGCACTTTCACAGATGGAAGAAAAGTAAAAAAAAAAGTGCCAACAACCTTGAATTACTGGAGACTGAGATTATGTATTAGATTATATATTAGCCAAAACAAATACTTGTATAGATGCCTGGACCATATTATTGTTTTTTGATATTTCATTTTCAATCATTTAAAAATATACTCACATTTTATATTTTAAAGCCCATAATAGTCCAAAACTTAAGAGGCATGTCATGAATATTCCAATGAAGATAGCTGCAAGGATAATGTCTGTTGTACCTAGAGGAGGGGGCAAGCAAATTAAAATGTCAAATTCCAAATAGTTTCAAGTGTCAAGTTTCAAGTGATATTTTAGACATAGGGATCAATGAAATCGGTGGGATTGATTCCATGAGACTGCATCCAAGAAAGAGAGAAATAAATATTTGTACAGATAAGTGAGCTAAGGATATGGCTCTGGCTTCTCCTTACTTTGAATTGTTTCATCTGGTTATCATGACTAAAATAATATAACTATTCTACAGAATCTTTAGAGGTCATTAAATTCTAAAAGTTTAATGTTTAATGTTTTTAGCTTTTCCAATGGCAGAAGAAAATTGGCATTATCTCATTTTCACACATCTAAAGTCATTGGATTCTTTCTAGTTAAAAACAACGCAAACATGTCTTAAGCAAAAATGATATATGAAGAGAAAAAATATTTGCCTTGAATAACTTACTAAGTAGTACAGTAAAAAAGGACAGTTGACTTCCAGTTGTTCCTCCAATGGTGGTGTTTGCCTTAATCCAAACTTTGTAATTGGTGAGGGGTTGCAAAGACTTAAGTTTGTATTTCAAGATACTGCCATCCACAGTTTCTTCTATTAAGACATAAATGGAAGGTTAAGTGGTCATTTCACCCATCCCTTCAAGCCTCTTTCATTGTTTCATTCATTCCAAGTGTTTTTATGCTGTTTCACACTCTATATGGTTTATAATAAAAGGAGGAAAAAGGCCCTCAGCAATTATGTCTAAAAAAATCTTTCTATAGGTCATTTCTTTTCTCTGCCTTTCATTCTTCTTTGTTTTTAACCACCACTCTCTGAAACATTTCCAAAGTATAAAGCCAATCAACAGGGAGGCAGTGTGAGCCATAGCTTTTGGCTTCCCAGCTACTGAAAAGAGCAGCTCATGTATTTATTTAGAGAGCACAGATTGGAAAAGCATATTGTGAGCACTTAAGTGCTGTAAGTAATATCCTATTGAGTTTACACTGGAGCAGGATATTCACAACTACTATCCCTTCAGCCATTCTTCCATGATATCTAATTGGAAGATGTTTGTGCGCGCACAGAAACACCTTTTTAAAAAATGATTTTATTTGCACCCTGTCTTTCTACTAAATTGAGCACGATCAATAGCACCCCTTCAGGTTGGCTGATAAGACTTCTTCAGAGCTATTTTATTTCCCAATAGATATTTTCAAAATAAGATAATTTCACAAAATCATCACTTAGAATTAGTCATTTAATTATTGCATCACTGGGACTCCTGTCCTAAAATATTTGGAATCTGGCATTTATTTTGTTTGCCCTTCTTGCCCCTCCCCCCCCGCCAAGCATAGCATATGTTGTCCTTGCAATTATCTTCATTGGAATTTTGATGTCATGCCTATTAATTGTTACATCCCTGGGGAGATGGATTCAGCCATTGTTAGGGCTACAAAATCTGGATTAAAAAAAATCCAGTTAACCAATAGATCAGGGGTCCCCAACCCCCGGTCCATGGACCAGTACCAGGCCACGGCATGCCAGCAACCTGTCCTCACAAACAAGCAAAGCCCCATCCATAGGATGCAGGCAGCACACAAAACCACGCCCCCTCCAGTCTGCGGAAAAACCTCACTCCATGGAACCAGTCCCTGGTGCCCAAAAGGTTGGGGACCTCTGCATTAGATAGCAGCAAAGAGGTTCAGAAAATGAAATTCAATTCCCTACATGATTTGCTGATTTGCTAACTTCAAAGGTGGAAATGCTATTGGTTTGCTAATATTGTGTGCTTGAACAAAGTGACAATTGAGGCACTTTCACAAAGCACTGAGGTACTCCAGCACTGATTCTGTATTTCTGCATCATGATCTGAATTTGACAGCTGAGCTTATCTTTTCTGATTTAACTATGATATAATTGTTTATAATGAAGCTCCCTTTCTACTCTGCTCAAGTCATTGCAATAGCATGCAACCATATTGCATTTATTATAAACACTGTGAGCCATCAAAAACCTTTCATTTTGAATGGACAAGGGTATCCTAGTCTAACCTAGTAGATTTAACTAATGATAGCCTCCTCCTATAATTATTTTTTACTGGGCACCCCTTGGGAAAAGCAGCTAAGCAATAGGGTAAAATAATGCCACAACTATACATCATTATATAATGACATTATATTATGACAGGGCTCTGGGGAAATTCTCAGTCATCCAGGTCATGGCTGTCCCAAAAAATAGGATCCAGTTGTCTTTTGAAAAAGCACTTTGGAGATATAAAGCTAGGTATTTTTCAGTAGAGGTACTCAGTTTGCCATTTAGAGTAGACTAGGACCATCCTTTAGTAACAACAAACACCTTTCCTACAAGCTTTAAAAAAGTTTAGGAAACCAAAGATAATAGGAAATATATTAAAGAAGCAAAGAACATAATACAAAAAGAATTGGAAGAAGCTGACTCAAATTATTCCAGGCTGTGATGTACCCTAATGGGGTACGTGTACAGCCTCTTCTGCCTTATGGTCAGTAGAGATGAGAAAGCAGAGTATATCTCTAGGACAGATTTAGGATTAAATAGTTATACAAAGATAATTAGATGAGACAGACACACAGACAGACAGACAGAGGCAAAGTCAGAGGTACTAAGAGAAATGATTTTAAAACAGTTAGCACCAAGTTTAAATAAAGGCTATCTGAGACTAAGGAAGCAGACCTCTGAAGTTAAAGCATTGACAATGGCTGTACTTTTGTTTCAGTTTGCATACATACCCAGTAGTTTGTTGTCTGTTTCATATATTATAGTATAGTTAATAATCACACCATTCCTTTTTGATTTTGGAATTTCTTTCCATTTTATGGTGGCATAATCTTTACCAACATTTTCCAGTTCAGGGTCAGGACCACTAGATGGGACTAAATCATACAGAATAACTTTAACAGTTTCAAAATATCTTAGCAGTTAATTAGAAAATAGTTCTTCCCAAAAACTGCCCATGGCAAGCAACAGAATTTTGATACTTTGGAAATGGCATGTACCATATATATGCAGAACAACATAGACCACTGGCCCAGGAAGATAATACTAATATATATAAAAAAGAGACTAAAATGGAAAATTTGGGAAAATTCTTGCCTTAAAGGTGGCTGATACTGAAATGTGACAGGTAAGTCTCATGTATGATGGAGGTAACACTTTTGTTTGAATGCTATTGCCCACCAAAGCTTTTGCTCAGTGACCCTCCACTATTTTCAAAGAGGTAAGCAAGTTCAGACTTCCTTTTTATTTGTTAATCCCTTGTTATAAATTGGGAAAAGAAATTTCTGTGGAACAACATATCCATGCAAGCTTCTTAGCTAAAGCTGTTATGAATTCACTCCCTATCAGTCCAGAACCACTGTATATACGTACCATTTTCATGGAAGTAGATACTGATGGAAGTTGGCTTTTTTATTTCATCTTTACACAAAGGGTATACTGAAAAATTATAGCATTTAAATTTTTTTAAGATTCCTGGAAGAAAACAAAAGTAATAGAATATTACCTTTCTTTCAAGGTTGCTAGCAAGAATCCTATTAATTGGTCCTTTCACACTACACTGCCAAGAAAGACAGAAAAGTAAAACATAAAAATGAAGGTTTCAAACTCTTGGTAGAGACTTTACCCTTATACTGTACTTAATAAGCATTTCCAAATGCAGGAGGCATCCATGGGTGTGTGTGTGTCAAAATGGCAGCCGTGAACTGTGTAATTAAAGCCATAGTGTTTTTACACATGCTATAAAATGCGCCATAGCATGTAAAAAGTGGAGGAGCTTCAATCATGCAGTTGCAACCACCATCGTACATATTTTTCACCCCTCCTGCCCACCCCTGTTGTACTTTGTCTTTTTATTACATCTGCCACACAAATAAGTTAACATACCAATCTAGCATAAAAATGTTTTACAAATATTCATTCCCCTGGTTGAACTAGAATATGCAGTGTGAATCAAGATGAACGAGCAGTTTCCAAGAAGAATCTTCTAAACTAGATTGCTACATTTAGTACTCACTTACTAATTTTATTCATATGAGTATGCTTTTATACCATGCATATTTTCCAAAATCTACCACAGCACCAAGCAGCATGTAAGCAGAAATCTCATAAATGATATATGGAAGGCTAAAATCTTTAAGCACAAAAAAAGCCTTCCAAAGTAACTGCAATTAAACCAAAAGCATTTAAGATTGAGATAAAACCAGGTCAAAAGCTTCTATTATTAGTTTCTGAAGAATCAACAACAGCATGGGAAGATGCTTGCTCTATCTTTTCCCTGGAACTAATTAAGACCAATGATGACAGGGGGAAATGAATCCCAAGCCAAAGAGACTATCAACAGACTCAGAGAATCTTTTTCTATTTGATTGATTTTAAGACACTTTTGGAACTCCAGAACTATCTTGGCAGAGGAGCAGAACAGAATTACATGAAGCAATACATTCAAAACAGCCATTTCTTTATGCCAAAGGTGTTGTGTGTCTACTGAATTGCATAACTCAGTTTAAGCAGCAACGAAGGACAATCTGGTAAATCTTCAGAATACAGTACTTCAGAATAACAGAGTTGGAAGGGAGCTTGGAAGTCTTCTAATCCAACTCCCTGCTAAAGCATTCCTGACAAATGGCTGTCCAGTCTCTTCTTAAAAGCCTCCAGGGATTGGAGCATCCACAATCCCTGAAGGCAAGCCTTTCCACTGGTTAATTGTTCTCACTGTTAGGAGATTTCTCCTTAGTTCTAGGATGCTTCTCTCCTTGATTAGTTTCCATCCATTGTTTCTTGTCTTGCCTTCTGGTGCTTTGGAAAATAGGCTGACCCCTTTTTCTTTGTGGCAGCCTCTCAAATATTGAAACACTGCTATTATGTCATCCCTAGTCCTTCTTTTCATTAGACTAGACCAGGGGTAGGCAACCTTGCCTCTTTTATGACTCGTGGACTTGGACTCCCAGAATTCCTGAGCCAGCAGGTCAGACAGAATTGGCATGCTCCAAGTCCCATCCATTAAGCAATGTCATCTGATGAGACTCAGGAGGTGCATCTTCTGTCAGAGAAACTGCTTTATGGAGCACATCTTCCCAGAGATGTGAAGATCTGAAACCTGCTGTCCTTTAACTGTTCCTTGGAGACCTGACTCTTTCCCCAGACTTCAGGCTGGCATGGATGTAGACTTCCTCTGGGAGGACTATACAGGTTTTAGCAGATGTTTGTTCCCCTGGAATGATAATCTTTCTTTTATTGGCTCTTTTCCAGCCTACCACTGCAGCCAGACATGGCTCCAAGTTTTGTTACAATATATATAATACAGTTTTGCTTCAGTTAGAGCAGGGTTAGGCAACCTTAACTCTTTTATGACTCGTGGACTTCAACCCCCAGAATTCCTGAACCAGAATGGCTCAGCTTGGAAACTCTCCCTTTCCCCTCAGCATGGCTGGCTCAGGAATTCTGGGAGTTGAAGTCCACGAGTCATAAAAGAGCCAAGATTGCCTACCCCTGGACTAGACATACCCAATTCCTGCAACTGTTCTTCATACGTTTTAACCTTCAGCCCTCTAATCATCTTTGTTGCTCTTTGTTGTTCTTTTCTGAACAATCATTTGCTGTAATGGAATGTGAGAATGACTTTGGGAAATGGAGCAATGAGATGCCATCTAGGGAATTGTCAAATAAGAGGGAGCATAGCCCACTACTGCATAATGAGCACAGCAAGAGGATCAGGATGGATTCTCCCTAAGTTATCAGGCTGTAAAGGTGACAGCGGGAAAACTGTACTTTCAGACTTACAAAATTTGTTAATGTAGGTTTATAATAAGGTATAATTAGCTTATTTGTCCACTGGTTAAGAGAAAGGGGGAAGCAAAGGAAGATGTAGTTGCAATTGACAAATTTATTAAGAAATTTAAGGAACAAAAGGCAAAATAAGATAGAGGAAGGACATGGCAAAAGTAAGGATGGGTTGCAAATATAGAGATGCATTCTCGTGTAAAGTAGACTTAACTATATTTATTTTCATTTTTCTTATCTCATGCCTTTAACTTCTCTAACTTAATATTTCTTACTCCTCTGTGCTTGGCTTGAACTTGCTTGCTCTTAAAAAAAGAAGTAGCACAGTGATACATGTGTACATTGCTAATCCCCAAATTAATCTCTCAATGACTTACAATCTTTAGTAACAGAAAAACAAGGAGGGAAGATAAGATAATTGAAAAATATACTTTAAATAAAAAGACAATACTTAAAAGCACTACCACCCATAGTATGTGCAATTAGCCTTAAAATCATACCTTTGGGGGAAGTCCATTTTGTGGTATTTCTTATTTTATGCCAAGATCGCTTGTATGTGTTTTCCTCCGACTCATACCACTCGATAAGATAACCATCTATTTCTGAATCTGTTAAATCCCATGTCAAATTCATTTTCTCTTTCAAAGCAGAAGCCTTCAGATGAACAATTTTTGGTTCTATGAGAATAATTGTCCATGTTAACTAGGTTGAGTAAATGTCAGCAATTTAAGCAATGATTGCAACTGGCAATGCATGGCAGTGGTAATTTACAGCAAACAGAAACAGAAAACTATAGCACGGTGATATATATATATATATATTAAAATACTGAGAAAAAATTTCACTCTTTCCTTACAGAAGATGTGACAACTTAAATTGGAACATAGGTAGTTCTTGACTTAGGATCACAACTGAACCCAAAATTTCTATTTCTCAATGAAACATTTCTGAGGTGAATTTTGAATACACAGACACACACATTCATCTATGTAACAAAGCTAAGAGCCATTTTCACCTAACAACCACTTATTTCTTCTTCAAAAAGGTACATTTAGATTGGATTTTAGAGCTGGAGGAAGCATATATAACTGTAGCAACAAATTTATTTGATAATATTCTTCTTAATAAAAATCCATATATTTAGCAAGCCTTTCCAATGTCCATGGAGATTCTCAGTCATCCCAGTCATGGTAGTCTCAAATCCTTTCACTGCCCCATCGCCCCCACCCTCCCAACTGATGAAGTTGCTTGAATGAGAAGCAAAACATCTTTTTCCTCAAGGAAAAAACATAGTCCAGTTGCCTTTTGAAAAAGCACCCTTGAGACAAACCTTTCCAATCTCTCTTTCTCTCTGCCAGATGCACTGCAACAAAGCACCAGTGGCACATAAGTATACAATATAAACAACAACAAAAAAGCACTTTTTTATTCTGTGTGTGTGTGTGTGTGTGTGTGTGTATTGTGTACAGTATTTGCATAAACTTACTCATTGTTTTTTCATCTTTTGATGATGGAACTCTAATAGTAGCTTCAGGAGACTCTCCAGCACTGTTATGAGCAGTAAAACTGATATTGTAGGCATCCTCCGTCAGGCTGAGAATGACAAGCTCTTTCTGACTGTATTTTTTTTCAAAAGTAATGTTGCTGTTTTCTGCAATGTATCTTACTGTATAGCCAGTTATGATTCCTGAAGATGGGAATCCTTTATTTACCTGGTCAGTTTATAGTAGCAATTAAGAAAAACAAATGGTTAAACATGTATAGGATTGGACTCCTCAAAACCTAATGCATGAAAAATAAAATTGTAAAGGAGCATTTGAAAAGGATGTACAAGTTAGCTGCAGAGTTATAATTATTCATAGTTCCAGGCAATTTTGCACCATAGAAATATGAAAATGATTAAAACACATTTAAACAATTAAAACAGAACTGTTAAAATCTAAATAGTTAAGCAGCATAAATTAAAAGGCAAAGATGGGATTTTTTTTCCTCAATTCAATCTGGTTCCCTTATTGACTCTGTTTGTTAGAAGGTTGCAAAAGGGGATCACATGACCAGGGGACACTGTAATTGTTATAAATATGAACCAGTTGCCTATCATCTAAATTTTGATCATCTGACCATGGGGATATTGCAACGGTCATGAGAAAAACAATTATAAGTCCCTTTTTTCATTCTCATTGTAACTTCAAATGGTCACTAAATGAATACTTGTAAGATTACCTGTAATTGTTATTTAAACAATGTTGGGAATATCAACATTTCATTTTAAGAAATTGTAATAACTAGGATTCCTAACCTTCTGATATCAGACTCAAGAAGCAGAGAAGAACTTTGAACACCATATATATGTGTATATGTGTATATGTGTATACATATATATACATATATATATATATATATATATATATATATATATATATATATATGTCTGTCTTTGGTTGTTTGGGTTTTCTCCCGCGTAAAATTGGAAGTGTCTTGGCGACGTTTCGACGAAGTCCCATTCGTCATCTTCAGGCTGGTGTTTTCAGCTTCGTGCTTCGAGCAGCAATGTGTGGTCTTAGCTGTTTCTTCCTTTTAACTGCCCGTGGGGGTATGAACTGATTGGGTGGGAGCTTGGCTGTGTTCTGATTGGGTGGAGGTGTGTTCTGAATGGTTAGGGGCTTGGCTGTGCTCTGATTGGCTGGGGGAGTGTTCTGTTTGGTTGTGTTCAGGTTAGTCTGAGTTGCAGAGGGGTTTGAGATTTTGGGCTGCCTTGCTATTTTTTGGCTTCGCGTTCGTGGTCGTGCTTCCTCTTCATGGAGGGTGTCATGCTTCATGTATGGATTGGAGGGGTTTAAAGTGGCTAATGACCTCCAATCTATACAATCTCAAACCCCTCTGCAACTCAGACTAACCTGAGCACAACCAAACAGAACACTCCCCCAGCCAATCAGAGCATAGCCAAGCCCCTAACCATTCAGAACACACCTCCACCCAATCAGAACACAGCCAAGCTCCCACCCAATCAGTTCATACCCCACTGGCAGTTAAAAGGAAGAAACAGCTAAGACCACACATTGCTGCTCAAAGCACGAAGCTGAAAACACCAGCCTGAAGATGACGAATGGGACTTCGTCGAAACGTCGCCAAGACACTTCCAATTTTACGCGGGAGAAAACCTGAACAACCAAAGACCGATATATATATATATATATATATATATATATATATATATATATATATATATATATATATATATATATGTAATAGCATTAAAAATATACATTGATAAAAAGAAACTGGAATTTTTAAATGTCCTGATATTTGTTTACCTCCCACAAAAGGTGCACCCTTCTTTCATTAGGATGAATAGTTTCAATTACTCTCCATAAGTCTACTTTCAAAGGGGCTGTTAAGAATAAATGAAACAAAATTTTAAAATATGAAAACAAAATGCATAAACATTGTACAGGCATCATTCCCTTCTGTAGGTTAAGTAATGGTTAGTCTTCTCTAAAAGCAAACAGATACTGGACTTAACAAGAACACAATGACACCCAATTCTTTCTCATTTTTTCTAAGGCTCCAGTTTCAGCTGTATTCTAGTAACTGGATATGTCAGGCCATCATGACTAGCTAGAAATACTTAATCCAGTTAAAAGAGATATCAACTGCAACTGTGCTGTCAAAGAACCTCTAGGCATGCAGTATATGTTAAAAATAAATATTCTTTCAATATCAGTGTCAGCTGCCAGATCAAGAAACAAGACACCAGAAAAAAGACTAAAAATCTACTTTACTGATAGACTTAAAAAACAACAACACCCAGAATCTTGAAAACAGTGGTACCTCTCCTTTCATACTAGGAAGAATCAAGGCAGAGCCATTTTAAGTCTCTTTCTCGTGATTTTTTTGTTTTCCCATACTGAGCCCATGTTCTGGTAATGGTCTTTGCATATTTTCTCCAAGGTCACTTTTGTGCACTCTGCTATTTAACACAGAACTGTGTCTATCACCAGACAAACAAGTTGCTCTAAAGGATGTCAACTGGGAAGAAATGCTCATGGAAAAAGCATATCACCACAGATTCCACAACATTATCCACAATCCCGTTTGTGGCTGGAATGTGCACTTGCAAAAAACAAGAGCCATTTGCACTATTTATTATTTATATATTTATATTTCATCATTGTCAACTGCCCGTCTCCCTTAAATGATATTTTCCTCAACTAAAACCCAGCTAAATTAAATGAGCTCCCTGTATAAGTGTGGCAGAAACAATATATATGCCATTATTTGTGTGGCTTTTTAAATAAAATTTATAGTTTATTTATTTATTTATTTAAAACATTTATACAGCCATCTATCTTCTAACCAATTCTGGGTGGCTCCCAAGAAAAGTTAAAACAATATATAAAATCATATTGAAACTATAAAACCAAACACATTAAAAAGTTAAAAACAATAAAGACCTGGCATCAAGTCAAACATCTAATGTGTGTAGTTATCCAATCTTTTCCCATGCATTTGGGGGGAAAGCCAGGTCCTCAAAGCTTTACAGATAGGGGCCTGTCGAACTTCCAGGGGACAAATGTTCCATAGGGCAGGGGTAGCCATGGAAAGGCATGCTACACAGCTCCCATCACATGGCAATATTTAGGAGAAGAGACTAGAACCATGCCCACCCTATCCAACCTGATAGGACACATAGATGGTGGTCCCAAAGGTAACCTGGTCCTGTGCCACATAAAGCTTTGAAGGTGATGACCAACACCTCGAATTGCACCCAGAAAGAAACTGGAAGCCAATGCTGCTGACGTGAGATTTTACATGGACAAATTTAAGGAGCCCCATTACTGTGCCTGCTGCTGCATCCTAGACCCGTTGAATTTTCTGGATGGTCTTCAAGGACAGCTCTATGCAGAGTGCATTACAGTAATCCAAAGAGTAATAGACCAAAGCATGAGTGATAGTTCTGCCTTTAACCTTTATTAACCATGATTTGAGATGTTTAAATCTGCAAATGAAATCTCTATGCCAGACTTGGCTATGTTGTTCTTACCTTGTTCTTCTGTTCTGCCTGTTACTTTGTTGCTCCATTCACTCCAGGGACTTGACTCATGGGGCTCACGAAGCCTACACCGAACAGCAACTGTATAATTTGTAAAATTCCATAGGCCAGTGAGATTTGCAATTTGATTTCTGACATAATGTTCGATCGGGATACTGATGTTTGCCTAAAAATAAACGTAACTGTTGTTTCAATTACCAAGGTAAAAGAATAAATTCAAAATTATAAATAAGGATTATCATATATCCAGATTTCCCTAGACACAGCTTCTTTTCAGTTTATGAAAGCTCAGTCCAGTTGAGAATAGAAAATACTGTGTTTATTTTATAGAAGACAAGCTTTTACTTCACTTATTGAAAGTGAGTGTGGTGGAGTGAAGTCTTCTTATCCTGAATGATAAGAACTGAAGCTCTTCCTTGCCATTTGTCATAGAGTACAACATTACCGAAAAATTTGCCTATGGATAGCTTCTTACTAGAAGCATAAACATTTTTGAGCAGCTACAGTAATCAGAATCCAGGCCTGGTAGCTTGCGATGACTGTTCAGAATTAATAATTCCCATTAATTTACTTTCAAATTCTACTCCAAAATTATTTATTCCCCAAACTACTTTTTCCTATTTCCAATTACTCAAATTGCCCTCCTTTATTCTACAACATTTAGCATAAATATTTCATTCCTATTTTCTACTTTATCCACCTTTTAATCATCTTCTTCATATCAATACTTTAATTCTAAAATTGCTTGTATTCATTTTCTGTCATTTCTGCATTTTACTGGAACGCCTTTCTTCCAACAGCCATTCTCTCAATCATCAACAATATAATAATATATAGAAAATACATTTTTGTTCAGTTGTTCAGTTGGAATTTGCAACTGCTCTATAAAATCCTGAGTCACTTGTATGACACACTTCTCTTTAGCTTGTCAACTTTCATGCAGAAAGCCTATTTTAATTAATCTTTATAATATTAGAGTTTCCTAATATTTTGAGCAATTCAGTGGCCTGTGAATTATATAATCTCGTTCATATTGTGGTCAATACTGAGTGGGGTGGCCTTAGAAATTTAATAAACAAATACGTCTTTCTCTCACAAAAGGTGCTATTAGTTGGACAGATTAAAGAGTACAAAGTATGAAGAAGGAATATGCCAAAAATGGGAAGGAGGAATGGCATATTAAATTATGAAAGTGCAAAGTTTCATTGTTTAGATGGCTAAAGAGTAAAAAAGGAGATCAGCTCTCTGTAATTTTATTTTCACCAATGTGGAGGAGTGTAGGAAAGAAATGTCTACATTATTTGGGGATTCAGCAGGCAACAGAGAAATTGGAGCATAGTCACACATTCACAGTAGATTTCACTAGAATTGACACAGTATACAAAGTTTGTAAATAGATAAAAATCAAGCAAGCAATAACTTTAAGGAGAGCTTATTTTAATAAAAAAAGACTAAAGGTATCAGGATGAAAGCTGCCTTTTGAAATTGACTGATGGTGTTCAAGTGGTGCTCCAGATGTTTTGGGACTGAACTCAAGGTGCCTATTACTATTGGTACTATTGTTGCTTTTTTTTTTTCCTACCATCATTCTATTTCTATTTGCAGGTCTTTGTATTGTGTGACTTTCAGGTACTGCAATGTCCACTATCCAAACCTTTTTATCTTTCTTATCAATATTTGTTAAGTCTGGAATGTTATGCAGCAGTTGCTTCTCTGTTTAAATTCTAAAGTCTCAGAGAACTTTACTTCTTCAATTACTATTACTTTGTGCATTTTGTTGTCTCACCAGCTCTTACTTCCAGGTAATGATATTTGCTACTTGTCATGCCTCTGTAGTCAGTCTATGAGATTATTATTCATACCAGATCAACTTGCTTTCCTTTTTATGACAGTGACCCCTTATACGATAATGGAAATGCAGTGGACATACTATAGCAGTGGTGGCGAACCTATGGCATGGGTGCCAGAGGCCCCATTGCCCCAGCCTCACCTCTGCCCACAACCCCCTCCTCTCCAGCAGCCCCTCTGAAGGAGAATCACCCCTGAGCGTGGCCCACAAGGAGCAGCGCAGCCAAGGATATGGCAGCTAGGCAGCGTAGACAAGACTCTGCCCTCACACCCCATCATGCACAGTTGATGCTGCAGGGTGCGAGCACAGGGTGTGGCCGCCATAGCGCTGCTGGGCTGCCTGGGCAATCTGCGGTGGGCCCTGGAGGTGGTGAGTGGCCCTGTGGGCAGGCAGGGCAGGGGATGGGGGCGGGGGCGGGGCAGGGCAGAGGGTGGAGCAGGGCAGGGCCAGTTTTTGGGCACTTGGTCTCTAAAAGGTTCGCCATCACTGTACTATAGTGCACCTTGTCATTAGCAAAGCATTCTATAAAGTTCCTCATACGATTTAGTATAGAAGATTTATTTATTTATTTATTTATGAGATTTATATACCGCTTTAAGTGCAAGCACTCTCTAAGCGGTGTACACCAGTAAGCAATGTACATATATATATATATTTACATTGCCCCCAACAATCTGGGTCCTCATTTTACCTACCCCGAAAGGATGGAAGGCTGAGTCAACCTTGAGCCGGTGAGATTTGAACCGCTGACCTGCTGAACACAGTCAGCTAAAGTGGCCTGTAGTACTGCACTCTAACTGCTGCGCCACCTCGGCTCTTTCAAGGAAAAATTGTCATAACATAAGATAACAAGATGTCAGCTATATTATGCTAATAAAAAAGGAGAATTATATTTTATGCTACCAAGCTGATTGAACAATCATGCCCAACAAGGGTGCAGGTTGTGCATCAAACTGGAAGGAATGGCAGGGTCCACTCTGGAACCTGTAATAGTTCCCATATGTATAAATAATTTGAGTGATGGTTTAGAAAATACATTGATCAAATCTGCAGAGAATCAATGGTAAGATGAAAAGCAAACAGGGTTAGAACAGTATCAAGATTTAGGAGCATCTTTACAAACCAGAATATGGGTCAAAAGACATCAAGAAAAATTTCAGCCGGGAAATTTTGGATCCATTTTTACATTTTGATTGAAAAATTAAAGACTTTAATATAGGAATGGAAGGGAATATACTGGGCACTAGTATTCAGAAAAAAGATCTGGGTCCTTGGAAGATTACAAGCTGAACATAAGACAAAGTCGCGATTCATTTGTTTAAAAACCCAAATGCAATCCTAAACTAAATAAACAGGTGAAGTTACTATTTCTCTCTATTCTGGACTGATCGGACGACACTCAAAATACTGAGTCTGGTTCTAGGTAACACATTTTATGTTAGACACTACCAACTGTAACATACCTTGTGGGGAGTAATCATGGTGAGAATCAGTTAGAGGCAATGGGTAGAATTTCTTAGAGAGGAGAAAACTGCAAGCAGACATGGCAACTGTTTTCAAGTATCTCGAGCAATATCATTTACATAAGATGTAGCAGAATTATTCAGAATTATTCCAAGAAACAAGATAATAAAAATGGATTTAAATTACAGATAGATATCAGGAAATATTTCCTAAAGGTGTTTGAATAGAGGCTGGATGGCCATCACATGGGAATAGTCTAATAATGGATTCCTGCACTGGGCTGACAGTTGGACTATATAATTTCCAAGGTCGGTCCCTACCTTTATATTTTATGATATTCTAGTTTCCAGCTTACTACCACAAGCCTATTGTCATATCACAAATTCTAAACACTGAATGTCTCCTTATCTAATATTTGAAAGCTGATCTTCTTTTAAAAGTCCAGAGGGGAAAAGGAGAGAAATACTAACATATTCATCATGATACACTTGTGACAGATATTATGATGCAAAATGATGGAAATACATACATTACCTCATTAGGCTTGTTCAGGACATCACTATCTTTATTATCATTTGGGGATGAAATTAAAACACCTAGGAGCCTCGTTTCCAATGCCATCATTAATGTAAGGAACGGCTTATTTCTGTCATCATTTAAGAAACTTCTTATTCTATTTTAATTGATTTGTTAAAATTTATATCAATTAAAATTTGTCTTACTGAAATGTTTTTTGCTGTGGCTTGGTACTGAATCTGGCACATAAAAGGATCATAATCTGGTTCTTCTGGTTTTTTTCTCAAGTGAACTCTTAGCATTTCCTTCATCCCTTCCACTTTCATTATTTGAGGAGGACCAGGTTTCACTAGAATTGAAAAATGAGCTGATAAACTTTCAGAAGTTAATGTACAATTTTATAATTTAACTACATTAGTGATAGAACATTTAGGGTGAAATGACTACCGGTGGACAGGAAACCCAGAGTATGTAGCAATCATTCCTAAGTGTTACACAGAGTGACCAAATTCATCTAATACAAAGCTGTTTCAGCTGAAGACTGCAATAATTTTATCTGTGTTCTGCCCAGTATTCCAGATATCCTTAGAGAAAACCCATTTAAATCCATAGTTAAATCCCACTCAAGAGTTTTAGAAACCAACTGAGTGCACAGATGTCCAGGAATGAATTATCATACTTCATCCCAGCAGCAACTCCAGAAAATGGTGAAGTAAAAATTGGCAAGACTGTGTTGCAATATAAACTCTATGTCATTTGAATGGGCAGATGATGCTGATAACCAAAGAGGCAAATCTTGCATCTCAGATTCCTTTTGTAGAGGTTGTTGCATCAACTCATTCATTTCACGGTTATTTAAAAAATTCTTGCTGTTCCGTCGCTATCAAATCCTTCTATAGGGACATAGCAAAAAATACTTTTGACGTATTTTGAACATGACACCTGTATTCTGTCAATAAATTACAAATTTAACTGAGGCACAGCAACTTAGAACATCGAACATAGATTAATAGGGTTGGAAGGGATCTTGGTGGTCTTCTAGTCCTACCCACCTCCCCAGTAAATAGATACTGTTTATGTCTGTGTGTCTATAAATGGCTAATTTGTCAGAGTGCCAGGCTTCTAGAAATTTTCTAGCATTTTTGAACTTGGGTTTAGGATGGTCACAGTTTTCCAGTTGAAACTATAGTTAAGTCTGTCCAGATTGAAACACCCAAGATTATAAATTTATCTCTGCCTAATCGCATACATCCAATCTGATGGGCAAATGTATCAACAAATGACATCTATGGGATCACTGCTTTCAGAACTCATAGCTGAGGTCATAATTCAATGTCTGGAAGCAATAGAATTCCAATACAAATACAAATACAATCCAAAATATGGATTTGATATATAGACAACACCTTCACCATAACAAAAAAGGACCAATTAGGGAAAACCCACAAAACCATCAACAACATCTTCAAAGGATTCCAGTTTACCAAGAAGAAGGAAAAACAACTCACTACCCTTCCTGGATATCCTGATCTGCAATGGTAAACCAGAAGCACAAATGTATGAAAAACTACCCATATCAATCAAGTGCTCCATTACCAAAGAAGTAACGCAACCTCCTATAAGAAAAGTTGTGTAAGAACTTTATTTAAACAAGCACAAACATACTACAGCAATCCTGAACAACAGAAAAAGTAAACAGAGCAACTATACAATTTCTTCCAACAAAAAGGATATCCATGCAACTTCATCACAAAATTCCAGGCCACTCAACCCAATGTAGCACAACCAATACTGCCATACATCAAAAACATCTCAGAAACCACCAACAGAGTATTACAACCACATGGAAGCAGCATAGCACACAAGCCAACTAAAACCCTCCAAAACATCCTAAGTAAAGTAAAACTCTCAGCAGCCCCAGAAGAATAAACAGGAGTCATCTACAACATACAATGTAATAATAATAATAATACTAATAATACTAATACTACTAATAATATAATGTTGGAAAGGACCTTGGAGGTCATCTAGTCCAACACCCTGCTCAGGGAGGAAACCCTATACCATTTCAGACAAATGGCTGTCTAGTCTCTTCTTAAAACTTCCAGTGTTGGAGCATTCACCGCTTCTGGAGGCAGGTTGTTCCACTGATTAATTGTTCTCACTGTCAGGAAATTTCTCCTCAGTTCTAGGTTGCTTCTCTCTTTAGTTAGTTTCCATCCATTGCTTCTTGTCCTGTCTTCAGGTGCTTTGGAGAATAGCTTGACTCCCTCTTCTTTGTGGCAAACCCTGAGATATTGGAACACTGCTATCATGTCCCTTCTCGTCTTTCTCTTCATTAAACTAGACGTACCCAATCCCAGTAACCGTTCCTTATATGTTTTAGCTTCCAATCCCCTAATCATCTTTGTTGCTCTTCTCTGTACTCTTTCTAGAGTCTCAACATCCTTTTTACATCGAGGTGACCAAAACTGGATGCAGTATTCCAAGTGTGGCCTTACCAAGGCATTGTAAAGTGGTATTTACATGATCTTAATTCTATCCCACTGTTAATGCAGCCTAGCACTGTGTTGGCTTTTTTGGCAGCTGCAGCACACTGCTGGCTCATATTTAAGTGATTGTCCATTAGGACTCCGAAGTCCCTCTCACAGTTACTACTATTGAGCAAGATACCACCTATACTATACCTGTGCATTTGGTTTTTCTTGCCTAAATGTAGAACTTTACTTTTTTCACCATTGAATTTCATTTTGTTAGATAGAGCCCAATGTTCAAGTTTGTCAAGATCCTTCTGTATCTTAAGCCTATCTTCTGGAGTGTTGGCTATTCCTGCCAGCTTAGTGTCATCTGCAAATTTGATAAGTTCCCCATCAATCGCCTCATCCAAATCATTGATGAAGATGTTGAAGAGTACTGGGCCCAGAACTGAGCCCTGGGGCACCACACTGCACACTTCTCTCCATGTAGATGTAGTTCCATTGAGGACCACATGTGGAGTACGGCCGGTCTGCCAGCTACAATCCATCTGGTGGTGATGCTGTTTAACCCACATTTTTCTATCTTATCAAGTAGTAGGTTGTGGTCTACTTTATCAAATGCCTTACTGAATTCCAAGTATATTATATCCACAGTATTCCTCTGGTCCACTAATTTTGTCACCTGGTCAAAGAATGCAGTAAAATTTGTCTGGCATGATCTGTTTTTGACAAATCCATGTTGGCTTTTGGTAATGACTTGGTTTGCCTCTAGGTGTTTGCTGATTCATTGCTTAATTATCTTTTCCAGGATCTTCCCAGATATTGAGGTCAGGCTGATAGGTCTGTAGTTTCCTGGATCCATTTTTTTTCCTTTTTTGAAGATGGGAACTACATCAGCTCTCTTCCAGTCCTCTGGTAGTTCCCCACTGCTTCAGGATCTTTGAAAAATATAATTCAGTGGTTCTGGGATCACATCTGCCAGTTCCTTGAGAACCTTGGGGTGTAATCCATCTGGTCCTGGTGATTTGAACTCATCAAGGCTGGACAGAACAGGTGCTCACTTACCATTTTCTTGCCTATATTAATTTGTGTTTCTAATTGTATTTTATGGTACTGCTTTTGATAGGTTGGGCTGTTTTTTCCCTTTGTGTAAAGACAGATCCAAAAAATGAGTTAAATAGTTCTGCTTTCTCCCTGTTGCTTGTCACCTTCTTGCCACTTTCCCCCACCAATCATTTCCTTAACTTTTTTAAAGTTTGTCTCCCAGTTGATGTCAGGGTAATTAAACTCCTCCATTACTATTGTGATGTGCTTCCTACATATCTTAGTTAGCTGACTAGCAAAAAGTTCACCTATTTCCTCTGTTTGGTTGGGCAGCCTATAAATACACCTATGGCAATGTCATTTTTTCCCCTTTTATATTGACCCAAATGCATTCAAGACAGTTTTCATCATTGTTGTGCTCTATTTCTGTAGAGATGTAGTTATTTCTTATATAGAGAGAGTAATTCCACCTCCTCTTTTGTTTGGTCTGTTTCTTTTAAATAATTTAAATCCCTCTAGCTGTGTGTTCCATTTGTGGGTTTCATCCCACCATATTTCCATAATAGCAACAATATCATATCTGTCCTCATTAACCTGAATTTCTAGTTCATCCTGTTTACTGTTCATACTCTGTGCATTGGTGTATAGACATTTGAGTCCTTTATGACTGACCATGTTTACTTTCTACATAACCTGTGTGGTGCCTGAGCTCCCCTATTTTCTTACAACCTGTTTCATTAGTGCACTTTGTGTGGCACTCATTATTAAAAGCTTGATTTTGCTTGACAGCAAGGTTGATATTCTTGTCCACACACACATCTATGTTACATGCACTGATAACCCTATAATTTTTAGATTGCCAGGGACAGGGATGTTCTATAACAATCAATCAATTCTGTATCACTGCCCCTGTTGTTTAGTTTAAATATTCCTCCAGAAAATCTGTGAATTGCCAAGTAATTCAGTCCCTTTCTTGGATGGATGCAAACCATCTTTTTTGTACACTTTTTCATTGGACCAGCTACAAACATCATGACTAATATAACCAAAGCCTTCGCCTTTACACCATTCCTTTAGCCACATATTGAATTCTGCTATACGCTGGCTTTTTCCATTTTGTTCCTTATCCACTGGTAAAACCTCTGAAAAAGTAAGCCTACAGCCTATCCTGCTAAATTCCTGCCCCAAGCTCTGGAAATCATTCTGCAGAGAGAATACATCTTTTTGGGACAGATCGTCAGTGCCAAGATGTACAATAGCATCCACATCACAGTCCTTCCTGGCATTCTTGACTATTTTAAAAATACGCTTCTTGTCCCTACTGGCAGTAGCACCTGGAAGACACCTGACCTCTTTCAAAACCTCTGTGTCCTTTCCTAAATTTACATCCCTTATAACTGAAACACCAACCAGAAGGTGGCTTCTCTTTTTGGATGCCTTGCTCTTCTTGCATGACTGATGTGTAATACCTGATTCACACTTCTCCCTGTCAAAAACAAGTTCTTCATCTCGGACCATGATCCCTTGCTTATTTGAGTTATCATCATAACTACCTTGATCTGTCTCCTCAATGTCCCTATTAAGGTAAGCAAGGGCATTGTATCTGTTATGCAGGGACACAGTGAAAGCTTTGTGTTTATGGTTCATAGCTCTCACCCTGCCAGATCCCACGGTTGTCCACAATGCCCTTCTCCTGCAGGATCTTTATGGTAGAAGGGGCTGATAGCATGGAGGCTCAATGATTGCAATAGTCACTACATAGGACAAACAGGCAGAAGACTAGCAGAACACATCCATGAACACCAACTAGTAGTCAGAAGACATGATGAAAACTCTTTAATTTCACAACATACGGATAGACTTAACCATAGTTTCAGCTGGTTAACTGTGACCATTCTATACCAAGCCAAGTTCAAAAATGCTGGAGAATGCTAGAAGCCTGGCATTCTGACGAATTAGCCATCAATAGACATATAGACATAAACAATTTCTATATACTGTGTAAAAGAGACAGTCAACAAGTCAAAAAGGGAACAGAAAGACCAAAACACTTCTCCACCAGCGATCAACCCCAATGAGCATAGATAAATTCCAAGATTAACATCAGACCAACAATCAAAAACTAAACAATACTGCAGTCAAGGAACTACAAACAAACTGTAAACAACCCAATCAAAAAACTGCCAAGACCACTCTCACTAATACTGACAGGGCAAGTCATTGGAATACAAACCGAGAGCAAACCTTATTCCTTACTAGCACTAATGATGTTACTTAGTTTGTGCAATAAAACAACAAAACAACCCAGCTCAAAGAGTACCAAGGACCTCTCATAAATAAATCTACTATTAAGCCAAGAGTTGACTTACCTATGTATTTCTTATATTGGGGGGTCACATTGAATCCTTCTTCTCCAAACATTGGTACTTTGACTTGTGTGATATAATCCACAAATAAAACCTGTTCTACTATACACGAACCATCTTTCATTTTACCAGGTTTGTCCTTTCTTACAATTTCCCCATTGCAGATATGTATAAAGAAAAGTAGATGATTGTTATAAAAAATGTTAATTAAAAAAAAATCAAAGATCAAGAATTTTATCTTGAAACCATCATAGAACATTTTAGACTTGACCCATTTTAGGAAAAAAATAGGCAAATTTTGCCCTTTATTTACTGATGTGACAAAACTCCATGGTAAAGTTTTCATTCCATTTCAAATAAATAAAGGCTAAGTTTTTCTCCCATAAAAAGTAATATGCTCCAAAATCTGCTAAGGCCAAAGCAGATGTTGTAACTAAAGATTGTGTCATTTTGCTTAGGACAGAATTGTTGTTGGTTATAAAAAAAACCAAAGTACTAAACAAAGTCAAATACAATACAACACTGTAGTGGGATCCAAAGTGAAGCAAGATCAGCATGGAACATTAGTGAGGATGCTAATTGAGCAAACAGGAATTGAAGAGTTCAAGACTCATCTTCTGATTATCAGATATGTTTAATTCATGAAGAGTGTCTTCCTGAGTACATTATTACACACAAGAAGTTCTATGTCTTAAGTAGGCATTTTGTCTGGCTTCCCTGAGAATTTGTATCCTCTGGCATCTTCTCTCGTAAGAGTTAAGTGCAACTCCACCAATAGTTCCATGTGGAGAGTGGAAGGTTCCTGTCACCAGACATTTCTCTAACCTGGGGTAGGCAACCTTAGCTCTTTTACGACTCGTGGACTTCAACTTTCAGAATTCCTGAGCCAGCCATGCTGAGGGGAAAGGGAGAGTTTCCAAGCTGAGCCATGCTGGCTCAGGAATTCTGGGGGTTGAAGTCCACGAGTCATAAAAGAGCTAAGGTTGCCTACCCCTGCTCTAACTGAAGCAAAACTGTATTATATATACTGTAACAAAACTTGGAGCCATGTCTGGCTGCAGTGGTAGGCTGGATAAGAGCCAATAAAAGAAAGATTATCATTCCAGGGGAACAAACATCTGCTAAAACCTGTACAGTCCTCCCAGAGGAAGTCTACATCCATGCCAGCCTGAAGTCTGGGGAAAGAGTCAGGTCTCCAAGGAACAGTTAAAGGACAGCAGGTTTCAGATCTTCACATCTCTGGGAAGATGTGCTCCATAAAGCAGCTTCTCTGACAGAAGATGAGCCTCCTGAGTCTTATCAGATGACATTGCTTAATGGATGGGACTTGAAGCATGCCAATTCTGTCTGACCTTACAGGACAGGCAGCAGAAACAGAGAAAAGGCAAACTCTCAAATGAATCATCCCTACACTATATGATGGTCATCAGTTGATTTCCCTCCCCCATGGTCACCATCCAATTGCCACTTACCCGTTTGTGCTAATAGTGCAGTTTGTATCATTGGGTATTTCTCTTCCAGAAATCCAGCTACAATTAAGAATATGTTTGTAATGATAAAAGCAAGAAATATTTTCAGGTTTCTGTGGCAAGGCTATAATTAAGTGGAACAAAAGAAAAGCTGTTATGAGGCATTATTTAATTTTATTGCTTTGTGGTCATCTGAATCAGAGTTCCCTAACCCTTTTCACTTTATAGACTGGGGGGAGGGAAAGGGGATGGTTCCACGCATATAGACATGCAGCTCCATTTGTATGAGCAGCAGGTATGCACACCCATCACACACATAAATGGAGTGTGCTTGCCTGCTGCTTGCACAAGTTGGGATGCCCACCACCTCTGTGGCCCTGTTCCGAAAAGCTCAAGGCCTGGTAGTGGGCCATGGACTGGGGTTGGAGGACCCCTGATCTAAATGCTAAAAGCACAAGTATTCTCATGGAGAGCTTTCTTCATTTTATCTTCAAACAATAGCCTGTGAGGTGTGTTGAACTAGACTGACCCAAAGCCATTCAGTCACTTTCCATGACTGAGGAAAGACTCTTCAGTGCTAGCATTTAAACATTACTTCACACTGGGTCCTTTCATTTCTAAAAGTAGAACTGTTTATAATAAATATGACTACCTTTTTTAACTCCTACTATAATCCCTTTGTTTTTACTGGGAAATAATATTGTCCCAAATCAATCAGCTTTGACTTTTCTTCGACTATCAAGATTCAATTGCATTCCATTAAAGAGGATAAAGAACACACATTACAAAGGATACACACAGAAAAACATTTTTCATTGTGTCAATGAAAATCTTCCTTCTACCGCAATTAGCTCCAAGAAATAAATTCCAAACAGCAAAAATATTCTTGGTCTTTACCAAAGATTCAATTAAGTGAAATTACAGTGATTTAAATTGTTTAAGGCAATTCTTGTTTAGCAACCTCAATTGGGATTTGCAATTCAGTTGTTTAGTGACGTGGTCCTCAAGTGGAAAATCACTTGATCCCCAACTAGGCTTTCCTTCCACACACTGCTTTGAAATGCTCACCTGGATACTGGGATAATTAGCCAGAGGAGAATTAATGCATGCATTTACATTCATTTGACAGGAAGGGGTTACAAAAAAGTAAGCAGGCACACAATGGTAAATACACATCCAAAGGAATGCTAGGGCTCACTGTTGGGCTACTGAATGTCTCCAAGTCACTTAGAAGGCAGACAAAACCAAATAATCCTGTCAATTACAGGTACAACTGTGGCTAACTAAGGTCACAGAGTTGAACTTATTAATCTGTATTTGGAAACTTTGGGGGAAGTGCCGGGCTGCAAAGAAAAACAACTCAGGAAACCATCAGCGTTTAAGCAATCTCTCCACTCTGCAAGTGAGGATGGGAGAAAAAGACCACATCAGGCACAAGACAACACACACTGACTGTAATGGTGAACATGTGACTGATAAGGCCTTGGTTGTGAAATTAATTTTTTTCCAGCACTATTGTAGCTTTGAACATTTGCTACACAAGGCTGTCCGTAAGTGAGGTCTATTTATAGAGGTCTTACAACCAGTTGGTTAATGGCAAAGTTGCCTATTTGAGAGAGTGACTTTGCACTTATGACTGCCATAAAACTGCCATAAAAATGGTTGAAAAATTTGGATCTGCCCATATGGTGGCTGGTCTTATGACTGCAATGATTTATGACTGGAATTCCAGTCACAACAGTGGTTGTAAGCCAAGGACTACCTGTGTTGTTAGCTTCAATTACTACTAGAAAGGTATACTACCAACTTTCATATTACCTCATCCTAACAGTTCCAAAAATTAAATATCACCAAATATAATAGTTTTCTCCAGATTTATTTAGCGTTGCAATCCAATAGTAATAAACATATAAAAGATTCAACTTACCAGTTAAGCAGAAATTACAAAGTATTGCCAAGTTCCAAAGAAAAGATAGGAATGCTTTAATTTGACTCATTTTGTGAAAGCTGGACATTCTGTAATAAAATGTAAGGTTTTCTTGTTAGATTCTTTTGCAGAAAATGTTAGTAGTTCTCTGCCTATTGAATTCTAAAACCCAAGCATTTATAACAATCACATAAAACATAATATTCTATATACATACAATACACTACAATTGCTCTAATCCCCCCCCTCCAAAAATGTCTTGTTCATAGGTTAGAATAATTCTCCTGTAATATTTACATGTTGGAATAATTCTCCTATAATATTTACCACATACAGTATTTTATTAAGTATAATTAAATATCAGAATGAAAGTCAAGTAGTTTAATATACAGAATGATCTTAACTGAATTTCCAGTTATGGCAAGTGGAGAAGAAAAGTAAATACTGTGCCTTACTTTTCTGCAAGAGAATAATTTGTTACTAATATCATGTATTTCAAGGCCAGGAACTGAAAAGGAACTATGATTATGAATTGATCTTTTTCTTCACAAGAATACAACTTGTGGTAGGTCCTATGGTCTTTCACCTATTATTCTGTAGGTGAGTTGTTAGCTAACATTAGGTTTAATTAAATACATAGCTGGAATGAAGATATTCTCGTGGTTGCTGTCTTTTTATCTAAAAGCAGAATTTCTGATTTTATTTCTTGATTGACATGTTTAGATATTTTTATCCTTTATTTTTTTATAAATAACTCAAGACAGTGAATATACCTAACTGAATGACTGGCTTACAGTCATCTAACTAACATTCATGCCTAAGACAGGACTAGAATCCACAGTCTTAAATGGATTTTTTTTAAAAAAAATCACATATTTAGAAACAAGTAGATCAACTGATTGCAAATTAATGTGCTGCTCTTTGGCAGGCAGTTCTTCCTATCTATTGATACACATGTCTATCTTTACAAAGTGCAGAGTGACCGGTTTCTGCCATAAGAGGCACCAGGCCTCTTATAGAAGCCACACCTCATTACATATTACAACATATGTGCATATGATAAATTACATCATGGATAGTAATAACATCACATCAAGAATATCACTTGTCCTTCTTTCCTTCCTGGTGGCACAGTGGTTAGAACGTAGTATTACAGGATAATTCTGCCCACAGCCAGGAGTTTGATACCAACTAGTTCAAGGTTGATTCAGCTTTCCATTTTTCTGAGGTTGGTAAAATGAAGATCCAGATTGTTGGGGACAATGTGCTGACTCTGTAAACCACTCAGGGACTGCTGTAAAACACTGTGGAGAAGTATATAAGTCTAAGTCCTATTGCTATTATTGACATATGGCATACTATTTAAGATTCTGCCCAAGGGAAACAGAGGCAGCAAGAATCTGATAATGATAAAGAACAGATATCTTCCCCCAAGACTTTTAATTTTAAACACAACTTACACAAATCTTTCTGTATCGAAAGTAGCTTTTTCCCACATTCAGTCCTCATCTACAATGAGTTCTCATTTAGTCTTCATGTACTGCCCTGTGGGGCTGACTTAACAGTTACACTTGTCCTTTGAGGTGGAAGAGAATTGACTGTGGCATTCTTCAATATAACTTGTCTATACGATAAGTGTCAAAAGACATCATAAAGAACCTTGTATCCTACAAGAGAGCTATTTCTTCCAGATTTTTTAAACTTTGAAGGCCCCATGCAAATTGTTCTGGAACTGCAAAAGTGAATAGGGTGTTTCAGTTTGTGACTGTTTTTAATGCCTTTCACAAGCTGCTTTGGAGATAATTCAAAGTTTATACTTTCAAAATCAATAAATAGAATTTTGATATTGTGGGAAGTTAGCCCCCCAGAGAAGGAAATATTAAAAGGTAGAAAAATATATTTCCTCAAAAGGATTTTAAAAGCAGAAACCAACCCTGCCCCAAGTCTCTGTCCCAAGCAGAAGCCAGCTCTATACAAATGTAAATGTAAACCATCAGGAAAGTTGGAGCTAGAAGCTAGGAGAAGACAAAGACACCTAAAATCTGCATACCCCACCCAAACTCTAGGAGTCATTAGCCCTAGCACCAGGGAAACAAGATATATAATAGGATTAACCCACCAACTACAAGAACACCAGAAAGGCACACACAGACTCAGGTCAGAATACATGACACAGGAAATACAAAGCCTGAAACAGGAACAAGAAACTACCATAAAAACCTACTATCCACATGTACTCAGCCCTTCCCCCCCCCTTACCTACTAGAACCATCTTGCTGTCTGGCTCTTCAATAAACTGCTACCTTCTTTCTAAAGCAGTCGCCATGTTGCTTATTTGGACGAACCAGGATGAAGACTTTTCTTTCCACAATATGTTATTAGAATATACTTAATTAATGCAATTAATGCAACTAGCAGAAATTCTGTCCAACAGTTAGCACGTTTTATGTGGCTTCAATCGCTAACAATAATCCTTCCTTGTTTTCGATGTCCTTCAGTTTTTGGAGTAATACTGATGTTTATAGTCACAAGTAAAAAAAAAGAATACTCTCATAGAGATTGATTTTTCCCAGAAAATACATGCAGGAAACACTATTTATTTTCTCTTAAGAAGCCTCGGTCTCTTTGTCCTTTTTCATGAAGTTTTCTCCATATCTTTCAGAAACTCTATTGTCTCCAAAATAATTGATATTAATACAGTGTAAGACTTCTGAATTACTTAATTATGTGGTTTCTTCCAGAAATGGTACAATGGCTATAATTATTACATTAAACCATCATTTCAAATCAGAATTATTACAGATTTTACTTTGTAATCTCTGAACCATAAATTACAATACTAATTTGCCACATAAAAACAAATCATGGTTTGCCAATTGTAAGATTGTGCCACATTATTTCAACTTATTTGTATTGTACTTTGGTAACACTGCAGAAGTTACCTAAGTGGTTTATCTCAAATAATAATATGTTTTATTATGCATATATATTTATGTTAGAAAATTGTAATATAAAATATTTTCCCCATTAGAGCAGCAGATGAAGAATCTAGAAAATGGAAAGAAAAGTTTATTGAGATTCTCCTCTTAACACAGGGGTGTCAAAGTGCTAGCCTGCGGGCCCAATATGTCATGGTGAAACTGCGCCCACCCCATTGCCACCAATGGAAAAAAAGTCACGATACATTGCGACACATCACGTGATGTTGCGAGCTTGACATCCCTGTCTTAACATCATAAATTGACATCAGCAGTTAAGTCAAATTTTACCTTAAAAGGAACTCAAATCAGATATAAGAAATCTCCAAAGTCATCTATCTGTAGACATTATTATATGTTTTAAAAAACAAATTCCACATCCAAAATGAAAACACACATTTTAAAGCTGCCAAGTTTGAAAAACACTGTTCTAAACCAGTGGTTCTCAACCTGTGGGTTGGGAGCCCATTTGGGGTCGAATGACCATTTCACGGGGGTCGCCAAACCACACTGTCCGCCATTTTTTTCCCTTTTCCCTAGCTGTCCTACTCCCTCTTATTGATGGCCACACCCACTTGGGGGTCACCACAACATGGGGAACTGTATTATGGGGTCACGGTATTAGAAAGGTTGAGAACCACTGTTCTAAACTAATAGTAACTTTAATTCTAGGATGTTTATAAGAGCCCCTTTTAATATGTCCTCTTATTTTGTCTGAATAAAAAAGGACAAATGTTTCAGTGAAAAAGAAATATATAAAACTCATATGACTTTTATTATATTTCTGCTAGCTAGAAAGAATTGTTTTTTAGCTACCAAGTTCAGACATAGAGCTTATCTTATACTCTTTTCAGTACATGGAAAACTTTAAAAAAATCCCCAAACATTCTTTATTTCTAGTACAAAGACCTACTTCCCCAAAGTTACAAAGACTAAGCTATGAGGGGGTGGGCATCCTTAGCTCAAGATTCTGTTGTGTGACCTCAGCTGTAAAGCTGCCCCTGCTTTATCCTGGGGAAGTGAGAGTGCTTTTTGTTTGTTTGTTTGTGTCTCTGGAAGAACTATGAACCACTTATCTCCCTTTTTTTTGCCACCCAGGGCTTGCCCAGAGAAATGGGAAGGATAACTTTTTACCTAGTGGAAGTCCCTGGCTCTCCTTTTGGTTGTGAAAAATCAGTGGCAGGGACCAGGGGCTGTGCTCGACATAGAACCTTCAGGAACAACTGGGGCAGGACAGGTCAAGCTGATCTCCAAAGGCTACGCTGCAGGCTGTTGGACCTGGGTGGTGTCAGCCAAAAGGAAAAACATTCCTTTGGAAGCCAAGCAGGAAAAGATGAGTAGAAGCTGCTTTTGTGGTGGACTGGGATTGGATTGAGGACAACGTTCTGCATTCATGTCCTCCACAAATCATAAGCGGGATATCTTTGTGCTGGGTCAAGCAGATTCCACAGTTATGCTCTTTTTTTTTAGGGAATCTCGTGCCTCGACTTTAAGCCCTATTTGAAGGAAACTCTCTCATAGGAGACTGAGGTTTGCCTGAGCTAACTTTGAGTGGACTGTATCTTGGTTGATATGGCAAAAGTCTGTGTTGTCACTTGTTTTATAAGTCTCTGCTGGCAGAGAGTGAGTGGTGGGATTCAGACAATTCGCACCACTTCGGCAGAACCAGTTGCTATTTTTTTGTTGCCCACGCCCAGAATGGATTTCCGGAAGCGGCATCCACATAGAGAACCGGTTGTTCACATATTTGAATCCCACCACTGGGATGGGGTAATTAGTTAATATAAATATGTGTTGAAATATTTGCCCTATTTATATATCTAACACTAATCAAATAATTGTAATAAACTTCCAAATCTAGTTATCACTTCTACTACCTATTTTTGGTAGATGGATAAATACTTTTAAACAGAAAAAGAAAAAAAATCATAAAAAATGATTGCATATACAGTACAAGATTTATATTGACTTTATAAAATGCTTTAATGTGCCTATTTCCCCCTCCAACTGTAGGACAGAATACTAAATGTCAGCGTGCACTCTGCAATTCAAAGATCTTTCCCAATAAATTCTTCTTGAGAATGTAAACATTTTTAAAAATGCTGCTTTTTATTGAAATAAATAGGATTGGGAAATGCTGGATGCTATATCCTATTTGTTGATTCTTGAGTTGATGTGGGATGGCCTTAAAATTATTTGAATTGTTTCAAAAATGAATTGCCAAATTAATGGAATATGGAAACAACCTCAGACAGAATCTCTTACAGCACTTTCTTCTACGCAAAGGGCCTCCAGATGTGTTGGACTATGCAGAAAGTCCTCAATTTATGACCACAATGGAGCCCAACATTTCCATTGTTAAGACAATTGTTGAGTGAATTTTGCCCCATTTTACAACCTTTTTGCTGCAGTTGTTAAGAAAGTCACTGCAATTGTTAAGTGAAGCATGCAATTGTTAAGTGAATCAGGCTTCAGCCATTGACTTTGCTTGTTGGAAGCTAGCTGGGAAAGTTACAAATGACAGTTTCTGTGACCCCTGGTAAGTGGGAATGTCATTAATACATGTCAGTTGCCAAATTTTCATCATATCACCACTGGGTTTTTACAATGATACCAAGTCATTACACAAATGGTTGTAAGTCAAGGACTACCTTTAATTCCCAAAATTCCCACCCATGAAGAGATTGTAAGAATATCATCCAATTCTTCTCAAATGAATTCCAGTTTCAAATTTGTGGAATGCATCCAATTGAAAAATCCAAGGGGGATGGATGGGCAGATGGACACACAGACACACACACAGGGAGGGAGAGGCAGAGAGGCAGGCAGGCAGACAGACAGACCTTGGGCAACTCAGACCAAAGCTAGAGATCAGTCTCATTTTTGAAAATATATTTTGGACTACAATTTTAAAAGATTCCAGAGGGTTTCTTATACACGTCCTCAGAAGACGCATCAAGAACCCACCTTTAAAAAAATCAGCTAGGCTGTCCTAAATTCGCTAAACGCCCAGATGGAGAAATGCAAGGCTTCCAGAATGCAATTTAACTTTCTTGGAGCACCTTTTGGAAATACGCTTTCTCGGCCGAGTTCAGAAGGAGGTAAACCAGCGGTTCCCAACCTTTTCTATACCGCGCCCTATCCCTAGAACACTTCTGATATATTCTCGCACCCCTTACAACAGTTCGAAATAACGGCAACGAATTATTCATGTACACTATAATTTTGAAAACCCAAGTTTTCGCACCCCCTAGAATGTCGTTTCACACCCCTAGGGGGTGTTCGCACCCTCGGTTGGGAACCTGAGATGAAAGAAGGGGAAAGAGAGAAAAGTAACGCGCCCGGGATTGGAGGAGCAAGATTATGCTCCGTTTCTCCGAAAGAGATTACATTCGAGGGGACTTGAATTCGAGGGAACTTGGGCAAGAAGCAGAAGAAAAATGCAGAAAGGGACCCTGCAAAAAAGGGAATCGGAAGAAAAGACCGGGGGGGGGGGGTGAAGAAGGCTGACGGGATGTGGGGCGTTAAGCAACAGGCAGGAAATGAGTAAGAATTGTTTGGAAGAGCCGAGAGTCAAAGGGGGGGTGTGCCACTTTCGCTACGCGCTATTAAAGTTCGGGGCGCACAAGCAGGGGGTGAGAGGCCACCGGCTTCTCTTGCCAGACGCCTAAGAAAACTAAGACTCAGGTGAAAGATTCCCGCCCCCCCCCCCCCCACACACACAGTCCGCGCCCGAATAGTCAGCCGGCCACCAGTGCTGTCCCGGTCTTGACTGCTCACCTCCAGCCACCGCAGGAGCCGCTTCAATTTTCTCAGCCGACAGGCGAAATGACTAAGCCTCGGATATGAGACTTTCTCACCACGGCTGAAGTCCCGCCTCTGGGCTCACCCATGCTGTTTTTTCCGCTTCTTCCAAGTGCTTTTCCCCGTCATAAAACGTCGGGGGGAATCGGGGTTTCTTTCATCATCATTGCCCACAATGGGCGGGCCTGCTGTGATGGCGTTCAGTTCACAGGTCTTCGGACCGGGAAAGTTCTCAGAAATGACTCGAATATATCTCATTGCGTGCAAAAGTCCAGAGGCTCCAGACACTTCCATAAAGGGAGATCAATCAAAATAAAGCTGGAAGAGACCTTGGATCTTCTAAGCCCAACCCCCTGCTCAAGTACGAAACCTACACCATTTCAGACAAGTGACTGTCCAGTCTCTTCTTAAAAGCCTCCAGTGATGAAGCACCCACAACTTCTGATGGCAAGCTGTTCCACTGGTTGATTGTCCTCAGTTAGGACGTTTCTTCTTAATTCCAGATTGCTTCTCTTAATTCCAGGTTGCTTCTCTCCTTGATTCGTTTCCATCCATTGTTTCTTGTCCTGCCTTCTGGTGCTTTGGAAAATCATCTTTGTGACAAGCCTCTCAAATACTGGAATACTACTATCATGTCCCCTCTAGTCCTTCTTTTCTCTAGACTAGCCAAACCAAATCTTGCAACCATTCTTTCGTTTTAGTCTCCAGGTCTTTAATCAACTTAGTTGCTCTTCTCTGCACTTTTCCCAAAGTCTCAACATCTTTTTTGTAATGTGGTGACCAAAACTGGATGCAATATTCCATATGCGGCCTTACTAAGGCTTTATAAAACAGTACTGACACTTCGCATGATTTTTGATTTTGTGGCTGTTTATACAACCAAGAATTGTATTAGCTTTTTTAGTTGCAGCTGCACACTGCTCATATTTAAGTGATCATCCACTAGGAGTCCAAGGTCCCTTTCAGTTATTGTTTTTGAGCTTAATCTGTATTTGTACTTTTGTTTTTTTTCTGCCTAATTATTAAAACCTTGCTTTTCTCCACATTAAATTTCATTTTGTTGGATAGGGCCCGTTGTTATATGTGCTAAGACATTTCAGAGATTGTACTGTGAGAAATCACCAAGTCCACTGTAAGATTCAAATATTCAGGTTTTATTAATGCCCTGCTAGAAAAAGGTATGGGACTTGTGACTGTGTCAGAAAACAGAAGATTAACAAATGTAACACCAAAAAGGAACCCAAGGAAAATCACAGGCCAATCAGTTCAATAATTGGTTCACACAAATTGATAGAACCCATAATCAAAGAAAAATAATAATTAGGCACAAAAGGGGAACAAACCCTGAGAAAAGAAAATCAGAAGTTCTGCAATGTTCTTTCTACATCAGTGTTTCTCAAGACCCAGAAATAAACATAGAACATATTGAAGGATATTTTTCAATAGACTCAGAAATTAATTTTAGGAGTTTCTGCCTCTATAGCCTTTAAAAGATGTTATGAAATAGGAATAAGTTTTGACAAGAATGAGACTGATCTGAAAGTGGATTTAAAAATGACAACCTACAAGAATGAAATGAGTAAGGTACTACACTGGATATACAAAAGAAATTGACTGATGTGTGGATGGATGGGTGTACACTTTTCCAAGGTTTTTGACTTTCTCTTAGGATGTTTTAGGCTTTGGGTCTAACCTTTAAACCAATGAGCTAAACCCCATTCTTTATTACATTTGTTTACTGCCCATCGCACCGCGAAGTGATTCTACATGTTACCAATTACCCCTAATCTCTCCATCACCCTACTTCATCTTCTTATATATGTGCTCTACCTCAGATATATCAATTTACTGAGAAATTACCTGTTCCTGAAGAATCAAAAGAAAATTCACTGCAGTTGTGAGCCACTTCAGTGCATCAAATGATTGTCTGAAGATTTCCTAATGATCATTTCAAAAATGTAGCCTTCAACTTAAATTTACCAGTTATTAAAAAGTATCTGAATAGTTCTCGTCCACAATGCAATTTAAGCCTATGCAAAGTTGTTGAGCTAAGAAATGATGACTCAGTAAACTCCAAAATAAGTTTGCTTCCAATAACCAGCATGATAAAGCAAAATAGACTTGAATACACTGTCTTCTTCCTTGTGAATGCAATCTGTGTTATGTAGGTTGCAGAATCAATAGCTGGTAAAATTTTAAGAGAATTTGTGGTTTTAGAGTTGCTATCATGTAATCCTAATCAATGATTTCTGATAAGACTGCCAGAATTGAGCTAAATTCTATAAAATCCATAGCACAGGACATGATTACAAGTTTTTATTAATCATTTCTACAGTCATTTACAACAGTCTTTTACAACAAATTGTGTTACTTCACACAACCATTAAACTTAAATTTGCTAAATAAGGAATTCAAATGCCTGAAATCCACCTTTCCTTAACACGGGAAGACAGCAACATCAATGGTTTCTTAAACATATAATCATCCTAAGCACGTAAACTTAGAAGTAAATTCCATTGAAATTATAGACGATCAAATAAAATTGGTCAGGATCCAATCAGGTTTCCCCAAAACTACTTTGTTTAGAAGATTTTGTATAGTACAACGTTGTTCTACTGCCAAGGGTAGATTTAATCCCAGGACTCATCTGCTACAAGTATATTTGATGCTGCAAATCCTCCACTGTGAGGATTGTCTTTGCCATGGAAAACCTACATAAAACAGAATTCAGATTTTCAGATAAAACAAAGAAAATTGTACATTGCCAGGAACACAGTGTGCTATGTTTATTTTCAACATTGTGTTAGAATAGGGGTGGGCGCCACATGAGAAACTAGGACTGTTGGGAGGGTCGCTGCTGCCCTGCCCACTGCTCCTGCCACGAACATGCCCAGGTCTGTATTAGAAAGTACTTTTCAGATACTTGCTGTCCAACCTGCTTGACAACCTTTCAACATTTATCACAGATAGCCTGAAATACATGAAGCCCTGTTTCTGTATTATGATGCTCACAATTAGCTTCCACTGATACAGCATTTGGTTTGTGTATAAAAGGCCTAAAATTACTACTATTCTCCATTAGACCACTACTCCAGTTGTCCCAATTGTTTATTTCTCAGAATCACGAATACTTACTGTATTCTGTATATCCCATATTATCATTTTAACAGACTACTTTAACAATCTATGTGTAAAGAAACTTAAAAATGGTTATTTCCACTTACATCACTTTCCTTATCATCTTCGTTTTATAATGCTTGCTTTCTCATCTATGCCTATTCCAATATCCATAGCCACAAATATTTCTCAACCTTAATTTGATTTTTCTTTTAAGGATTGCTAAGTATGTTTGGAGCCAGGGGTCTTTCAAAATTACAATACTTAACCAATGTTTAGATAAAAATCAGTTTGATTTAAAAGTTACCTACCTTTCGGGAATCAACAGCTGCAAACACATTTTCCTTTGGATTACTAAAACCAATCCCACCTGAACCACAAGCAATTTCTTCTAACCATGCTGGAACCTCTTGCTGAGCCTTAAAAAGGAAAGGTTGCATTATTACATATGTACTATTGTCTGTTTAAAAACTATTTAAAAATTGGGAAATGAAAGACAACTTACATCTGCAAGCACTTTGATTAGAGGCTGTGCAATGGCACTGTCTGCTTGAAGATCAAAGAAAGAAATTGCTTTGCCTATATTACCACAACGGCCAGTTCGTCCAATCCTATGAACATATTCATCAATTGTGGAAGGGAGATCAACATTTATAACATGTTGAACATTTTCTATATCCAGACCTCTTGCTGCTACAGATGTAGCAACAAGAACAGGACATCTTCCAGTACGAAAATAATGAAGTGCTTCCTCTCTCTCTCTCTGTTCCCGGTCACTAAAAAATAGAACATTTTAATTTGCAAAGAAATTTTAACAGATAGATATATCAAAGTGGAGGGTAAAGCCATGTGCATTAGATTAAAAAAAATCTCATTCATAGTTCTACTCTGCATGAATGGGAGAATAAGGGTATCCTCTGCAGATTGAAGTACTGTAGATAGTGATCCAAAATTTGTGATTGTCTACTGCACATTGTTTTGGTTAGAGATTACACAGTCCTTTAAGAAATAACTTGACTTTACCTTTATCAATCTCATAGTTTAATTAAAAACACAGAAATGTGCCAAGTTAAGCATTTCAATAGCCTTGTGACAGAGGCAAGATAAGGAATGTGGAATGCCTCAGGCCCTGGGAAGATCAGGACAGGCTGCATATGTCTCTCAGCTCTGATGTTGAACATCCTCCCTGCTATTTCAGTACACAGCATTGACTTCCTGGGGAAGCTGGCAGAGAAGATTGAAAACGGCAATTCCATGATCATGGGCCACTTGGCAAACAGTTGTTAAGTGCAAACAGTTGCCAAGCGTCCAGATCATGTGACTACAATCTTGTGACTGTGGTGGGACAGAGTTGCAATATTTTGCATCAACACAAGTGCTTTACATGCCCTTTATAACTTTGAATGGTCATTAAGCAAAAGTCAAGGACTCTATATTTTTAATGTACCAAGTTGTTTTTATTGGAACCTTCAGCCATTTTCAGTTGAATTTGCCTTTAAGGAAATGGAGAGTTATACAGATCTTAGATCAGAGAAAAGCAAACATATATAACTACCATAGTGTTTCAGAAAAATTTAGAAGACTTTCTCCCATGGAATTCCAATTTGCCGTTTTACTACTGGCTGGGAACAATATCATTACAGGTAGTCCTCGACTTACAACAATTCATTTCACTGGCACTGAAAAAAATGACACATGACTGTTTTTCACACAACCATTGCAGCATCCCTAGTTACATAATCAAAATTCAGATGCTTGGTTCATATTTAAGGTAACAGGGTTACAGTTCCTAGGGTCATGTGATTATATTTTGCAACCTTCTGAGAAGCAAAGTCAATGAGGAAGCCAGATTCACTTAGAAAGATGTTACTAACTTAGTGAGTAATTCATTTAACAACTGTAGCAAGAAAGGTCATAAAATGGGGCAAAACCCACTTAGCAGCTATCTTGCTTAACAACAGAAATTTTGGGCTCAGTTATGGTCATAAGTTGAGGACTA